AGAAAATTCCAAGAACCTGTTTAGGTTGAATTAGCCGAGCTCCAAGCTACAAACGTGGAACCAACGCTACGGCAGTTGGGTCCGACAGCGCCCCACATCCAGTGCCGGGGGTGGCTCCTCGCATCTCTGGCGCCTGAGGAGAATGACGGGCGGGCCCGGGCTTCCGACTCCCACATTGCTCCACATTTCGTGCCGCGGGTCACAGAAGCCTGCAGTCTCCAAAACCAACTTCCCCCCAAAAAACAAAATTAGACACGTGGAACGGTCGCGGGCTTCTGTGGGACGCAAGCTCCGGGGCGGCTCCCGGATCGCACGGAGAGTCCGACCCTGAAGGGGACCGACAGGCCGCCGTGCCCTGCCCGGGAGTTCGGCTTGGACCCAGAGGCAAGGGCAGGCTGGGGAACACCTCGCGTTTCTTTTCGGGGAGAGGGAGGGAAGGGGTAGACTTTTAAAAAAGGAACGTCTTGCAGCCTCAAAACTTAACACCCAAATATTACAGCGGAGGCATCTCTTCAGAAGTTACAGGTTGAAAATACTGCCATTTGGGGTTTCTTTCTTTAAAGCCTCAATGAAGTCTGACGGTGAATTCTGTTCTTTAAGAGTCCCTGACATTTTAGAGCGCTTACAGATATTTTATTGCCACTTCGGGTAGTAAAGTAAAAAGATAAGGAATGCTGACAATAAGCCGGGTGGTGTGAGGTCTTTTCACATGTGACCCTTACAAAAATGCTGTGAGCTAGACATTATCTCAAATTTACAACCTGGCAAAAATGTAAAAGATTTGTATACGGGGGTGGGCAGAAGTAGGTTGACAGTTGCGAATACTTGAAACACAGAGTTAATAATCCTATTGTAACCACCATAACCTGCATGTCTTGCCATACAAACAACTGTAAACCTCCTTTTGCCCATGCCTGTATTCAGTACTTAGGAGTAAGTACTATAGGCTCCCTCCTACATTGTTGATGGGAGTATCATTGACACTGTCTTTGAAGATAACATGATAGTATCTATCAAAATTTTAAATATGCATTCATTCTCTCCTAACTGGCAATTTCTTTGTAGAAATGTATTCTGAAATACACAAATTAACCTAGATGAAATACACAAATGTCATAAAATATATAAGAAGCTTTTGATCACAGCTTTTTTAGTAGAAAAAAAAAGAAAGAGCTGAATGTGCATCTACAGAGGATTACAAAAAAATGTATATGAATTTTATGGCTCTTTCATCACTAGTCACCAAGTAGGATTTATTCCTGGAATGCAAGGATAGTTGAAAGATAAAATTGATCAATATAATATACCTCATTAAAACAATGAAGGGGAAGCCCAGCTGGCATGGCTCAGTGGTTGAGCATCGACCTATGATCCAAGAGATTGGGGTTTGATCCCAGTCAGGCCACATGCTGGGGTTTTGGGCTCTATCCTCACTAGGGGGCATGCAGGAGACAGCAGATCAATGATTCTCTCATCATTGATATGTCTCTCTCTCTCTCCCTCTCCCTCTCCCTTCCTCTCTCTGAAATCAAGACATATTTTTTTAAAAAAAGAATGAAGGGGGAAAGAAACCCATGACCATTTCAATTAATGTAGACAGCATTTGATAAAATTCAACCCCTTTTCAAAAAAACAAAACACAACACACTCAACAAACAAGGAATAGAAGGAAACTACCTCAACATAATAAAAACAATTATGAAAACCCACAGCAAACATCATACTCAATAGTGAAAAACTTTAAGACTGTCCATTAAGATCAGGAAAAAGGTCCTACCGGTGTGGCTCAGTGGTTGGACAATGACCCATGAACCCAGAGGTCCCGGTTCAATCCTTGATCCAACAATTTTAAGCATCTTGAGTTCTAGTCCTTATGCTAGGCTCCTAGGATTAGTGATGATTCAGAAGACAGCTTGATGGGGTTCCCACTGGCCTCATCTGGGAAAATTTAAACATAAAAATAAGTGATAATAGTAGTATATTCTAATCTATTGAATAAAGTAGAAATCTACAAGTCTGTACTGACATAAATAAATAAATGAATAAATTGGAGGTGTGATGAACAGGATATTTAGTGTCTTAAGTACCTGCCCACAACATGCTTATTAATTGCAAAGGGAAAAGAATAACTTTTCTTTTGGTTGATACCACTTTACTTAAACCTGGTTGAAACCACTTAAGTGATCAAAGTTAATATAACCAGAAATGGGACAAATCAAAATTGTGTGCTACTTGATACGATATAATGAGAACAGCCTCATATCTGTGATATTCCTGCCAAAGATGCATAACCTGAAATGACTCACTTGAAAACATTAGACAAACCCAGATTGAGGGACATTCTACAAAATAACGGGCCTGTAATCTTTTAAATTGTCAAAGTTATGAAAGTCAAAGTAAAAGTGAGTAACTGTCCCAGGTTGAAGGAGACTTAAGAGCTGTGGTAGCCCAGTGCAACATGTGATGATTCTGGACAGGATCTTTCTTGCTATAAATTATTAATAGGACAGTTGGTGAACTTAGATGGAGTATGATGATTATATGGTAGCAATGTATCAATATTAATTTCCTGATTTTGATGGCTGTATGTAGTTAATTAGGGAACATCCCTGTCTGTAAGAAATACTATAGTCTTCACGGGTGATGAGGCATTGACAACTTACTCTAAAAGGTTAAGGGGGGAAAATGTTATTTGCACTCTATTTGCAAAGTTCCTGTTTGAGATTGGGAAAAGCATGATAAGTGCTCAAAAGGAGCTCAGGTATAAGGGTTATTCGAAGCATCCTGGGTGTTTGCGGGGAGGGGATGTGTCTTAAAGAAGGAGATTTGGAGAACAGAGTGTAGCCTGGGTTCTTGCCGGTCAACAGTACCACCTCTTTGACAGGGCCCTGGGTCCATCCTTAAAGGCCCTGCTTTAGGCCCTTCTCTGGCTTCAGTAACTCCCCATGTGGAAGGAGAGTTGAATCTGCAAGGACAATGCGACATACCAATCAGATCAGGCTCCCCCCTGTCTAGTTCACGGGAGAATCTCCTGCTCAGACACTCTTGAGTCTGCGAGGCCTCCTCCCCGCCCCCCACCACCCTCGAAGGGTTGATTGGGCCGCAGCTGTATGCTTGCCTAGGCCCAAGGAATGATCGTGGCTGGGAGCTGTTTGCAACGTTGTGGACGAAGCTTGCTTGGACTTGAGGACTGGATCTCCACGGGTGTGCGTGGAGGCCCTAGAGGGCAACTGCCGTTTTCCAGCTGCCACATTTAGTTGGGGCTCACGGAGTGCCTGTCAGAGAATTCTAAATTTGAACTTGGCCTTTCAGGTCTTGGTAGGATAGGCTTGTCACGCTAGGAGGGATAGATCATACTCTATGTAGACCATGCTGAGCAAGAAGAAACCCCACATGACTGTTAGTCAGAAACTGCAAGACTGTTAGGAGTTTCGGACCCTCGTCTCACGCAACCTTTAACGGCTCAGGCGGAGTGCGGGGCGAAGCGGGTGCTGCGCCTCGAGAGGAGGAGGAGGAAGCAACGCACCGGGTGGAGACCACGCCCCTTCTCGCGGGGGGCGGGGCCAGTGGCGGACTGGAAAGGCGCGCCTCTGCGCTCGGGGGGCGGGGTCTTGGGGGCGGAGCCACGCAGCTCCGGTAGCGCGGGGCGGTGCCCGGCGACGTCACGCGTCTTCCGGGCGGCTGCGCTGCCTGCGCGTGTGGATCGGCGTGGTGGCGGCTGAGACAGTCTCAACTCCTGGGCTTGGCGGCCGGAGAGGGGGGATGGCGGCGGAGGTGTTGCCGAGTGCGAAGTGGCTTTACTGTGGGCAGCCCGACGAGAGCCAGAGAGCTGTACTGGGTGAGCGCTGCGGAGCTGGGGCAGAATTCCGCGAACGCCCCCTTTNTGATTTTGATGGCTGTATGTAGTTAATTAGGGAACATCCCTGTCTGTAAGAAATACTATAGTCTTCACGGGTGATGAGGCATTGACAACTTACTCTAAAAGGTTAAGGGGGGAAAATGTTATTTGCACTCTATTTGCAAAGTTCCTGTTTGAGATTGGGAAAAGCATGATAAGTGCTCAAAAGGAGCTCAGGTATAAGGGTTATTCGAAGCATCCTGGGTGTTTGCGGGGAGGGGATGTGTCTTAAAGAAGGAGATTTGGAGAACAGAGTGTAGCCTGGGTTCTTGCCGGTCAACAGTACCACCTCTTTGACAGGGCCCTGGGTCCATCCTTAAAGGCCCTGCTTTAGGCCCTTCTCTGGCTTCAGTAACTCCCCATGTGGAAGGAGAGTTGAATCTGCAAGGACAATGCGACATACCAATCAGATCAGGCTCCCCCCTGTCTAGTTCACGGGAGAATCTCCTGCTCAGACACTCTTGAGTCTGCGAGGCCTCCTCCCCGCCCCCCACCACCCTCGAAGGGTTGATTGGGCCGCAGCTGTATGCTTGCCTAGGCCCAAGGAATGATCGTGGCTGGGAGCTGTTTGCAACGTTGTGGACGAAGCTTGCTTGGACTTGAGGACTGGATCTCCACGGGTGTGCGTGGAGGCCCTAGAGGGCAACTGCCGTTTTCCAGCTGCCACATTTAGTTGGGGCTCACGGAGTGCCTGTCAGAGAATTCTAAATTTGAACTTGGCCTTTCAGGTCTTGGTAGGATAGGCTTGTCACGCTAGGAGGGATAGATCATACTCTATGTAGACCATGCTGAGCAAGAAGAAACCCCACATGACTGTTAGTCAGAAACTGCAAGACTGTTAGGAGTTTCGGACCCTCGTCTCACGCAACCTTTAACGGCTCAGGCGGAGTGCGGGGCGAAGCGGGTGCTGCGCCTCGAGAGGAGGAGGAGGAAGCAACGCACCGGGTGGAGACCACGCCCCTTCTCGCGGGGGGCGGGGCCAGTGGCGGACTGGAAAGGCGCGCCTCTGCGCTCGGGGGGCGGGGTCTTGGGGGCGGAGCCACGCAGCTCCGGTAGCGCGGGGCGGTGCCCGGCGACGTCACGCGTCTTCCGGGCGGCTGCGCTGCCTGCGCGTGTGGATCGGCGTGGTGGCGGCTGAGACAGTCTCAACTCCTGGGCTTGGCGGCCGGAGAGGGGGGATGGCGGCGGAGGTGTTGCCGAGTGCGAAGTGGCTTTACTGTGGGCAGCCCGACGAGAGCCAGAGAGCTGTACTGGGTGAGCGCTGCGGAGCTGGGGCAGAATTCCGCGAACGCCCCCTTTCGTCTCGGTACCTTTACAGCCCTCCCGCCCCCCGCCGGGCACCTTTCCAGCTGGCCCGAGACCCCCGCCCCTAGTGCCCACCGCTACTTGGGACTCGGCCAGAGCTGCTCTGCCATCCCGCCATCTTTCTGTTACCACCTCCCTCCTGGATGTGGACAGCCCAGTCACCCCCTCCCCAAGGGATTTACCCAGGATTTTGACATCTCACTCACCAGGTCTTAGACCTGCTCCATTTCCTTATCTCCACTGGGCAGGGACACCCTCTGTTTCTCTAGGTCCGAACTAGGCCTCCTCAGTCGGCACAATTCTCATAGTTATTCTCTCCTGTCTCAGCCCCTCCCCAGGACTCCCCTCACCTCCCCATCCCTTCTTTCCAAGTGGACCAGGAGCTCCTTCAGTCCCACTTCAGGTCGGGACCTGGGCTTCCTTCCCAGCCTGATTCCTCCAGTCTCTCCTTCCTGTTGACAGTCCAGTTCCTCTCCACCATACATTGATTCTGATCTCATCTCATTCTTGGGCTGTGATCTTACAGTTCAGTTTTCCAATGGGAAGCTGCAGAATCCAGGTAACATGCGTTTTACCTTGTACAAGAGCAACGACTCCACAAATCCCAGGAAGAGGAGTCAGCGGATCCTGGTGAGTGCTGCAGAGGCCAATTGCCTCCACTCTGCACACCTCAGTAAGACCCCTTGGGTGTGGTGGATGTGGGAGGGAGTGAGAGGAGAAAGGCAGGAGATAGCAAATGAGCCTTTGAAGAACTCTTCTGAGCCTCCGCAGGTTGGGGGTGTAGGGACAGGCTTCATTCAGTGTCGTACTTTTGGTGAACTGATGGCCTTTCATTCATTAGTTCATTCAGCAAGCATGTTTTTGAGCACCTACTGTGGCCCTGTGCTAGAAAAACAGCTAAATCAGACCTGGCCTCACTCTGTGGGAGCTTGTACCCTAGAGTGAGGTTTCTCAACCTTGGCACTATTGACATTTTAACTCAGATAATTTGTTGTGAGGGCAGCCCTGTGCATTACAGGATGTTTAGTAGCTTCCCTGGCCTCTACCCACTATATACCAGTAGTACCTCCTAGTTGTGACAACCAGAATGTCAGGCAAGGAGACTACAAGGCAGAGTCTAAGTCTCTGCTTGCCAGGATGTCTTCCTGGGGAGGGCACATGAAGCTGAGCTCTGAAGGCCGGAAGAGGGTTTGACAGCTGAGGCTTAGCATTCCAAGTGAAGCAAGGACAAACAGGGAAACAGGAAAGCTTGGCTGTAGTTGAGAAGGGAATTGGCCATTTCCACGGTCCTAAGAACATATGAGAAGCAGTCATAGGAGAGGTGGGCAAAGAGGTTTAAGAAGGGCGTGGACTTCCAACTCAGGAGGTTGCCTGCAAGATCATTTTATTGCATGTCTATAAGTGTAGGGAGCCCAGGGCCTCTCTCCTAAGTCCTGTGGTGCAGCTTCCCCAAGGACTTTTCAGACCAACTAGAAGCCAGCACTATCCGGGGCTTCCCTTTCCAAGTCCTCTTTTCCCCACAGGCACCCTAGATATACTTAGAGATAGTGGGGCTAGATCATCTCCCAGAGGCTGTCTAGTTCTAATGCATTGTGGTTGGATTCTAAAGCTTTTTTCAAATGTGGAAAAGGAAGACAAGATGCTTAATACCTTTCAACATTGGTTGTAACGGAGCTCTTCTCCCTCTACATTTTAGGCAGCTGAAACAGACAGACTTTCCTACGTGGGAAACAATTTTGGGACTGGAGCCCTCAAATGCAACACTCTGTGCAGGTAGGGACAGGGGGACAGCTGGAAGGGGAAAGGAGTGGTGGTGGCCCTGGCACTGCTGTTCTCAGTCTTTACATTAGGGGTAGTGGGGGAAATCTAGAGAGGTTTACCAAGTTTCCATGTTCCCAGATCTAGGGGCTCTCACACCAGCATGTAATGTTCTTAAAAAGAAAGTCGACTTATATTTGTTGAATTTCCTGAAAACCTCATTTATTTGTAGTATTCTGAAATTAAAAAAAAAAATTAAGATATAATTGACATATAACATTATGTTAGTTTCAGGTGTACAACATAGTGACTCAATATATGTATAATGAAATGGTCACCAAAATAAATCTAGTTAACATCTATCACCACACAGTTACTATTTTTTTCTTATGACGAGAACTTTTAAGATTTATTTTCTTAGCAACTTTCAAATATACAATACAGTATTAACTATAGTCACCATATTGTACATTACTTCCCCAGGACTCATTTATGATCTTGTTTCCAAAATGCAGCTGTCTTAACTAATATGGAATGTATGATCAGTGTTTCAAAGCCTGCCAAAAATTTGCTTTAGGACTAAATACAGAAAAAGAATTTGGTAGTGTCAAAGACTCTGGGGTTTCTGTCCAGCTCTGCCACTGATTGACTGGCTGACTTGGGGCAACTTTGCCCTTCACTGATATCCCAGGTCTCTCCTTGCTGCACTGCCCTGCACTGAAGCTTGCCCAGCCTGAACAGTCTATAATGCAGAGGTCCCTGTGATGGTATACAACAGTGAATCACAAACAAGGTGCTTTCAGAGCCACACTGGACCTCCCTGATAGAAATCAGATTAATGAGTATATGCTTAAAACTATTAACACTACATTATCCCTTTACAGAGATTCTGTAGTTCAGATTGGTCTTTTCCCATAACTACCAAGGCTTTACTTGTCTTTGCCTCTTTAAAATTTATATGTGCAGTAATTCTAGTGTAACTCTTCATTCTTACATCCCAAAAGGGTTTTCCACTGCAGCAGTGAGCCTGAACGTACTAGAATCACCTGTAGCTTTTTTTTTTTTTTCCAGAACCACATCATGAACCCTCCCCATGCAGAGAATTGCTGCTCTGGGGGATTATTGCTTCTTCTGAGCAAGTGGTGCATTCCCCGGGTGTACTGGGGCAGAAAGAATGTTGAGAACTTTTAAGCAGGGAAAGGAAAGTTGTATAAACAATGCCATTTGAATAATCCATTGTCGCTGGTATTATTCCTTCTTTTATTCAGACACTTTGTGGGAATTTTGAACAAGACCTCTGGCCAAATGGAAGTATATGATGCTGAATTATTCAACATGCAGCCACTGTTTTCAGGTAGGTCCCAGTCAAGGCTCAAAGAAATGCTGCATATTTTAGGTTTGCTGGATGCATTGGCTTGGGTTTTCGATTTTAAAATACATTTTCTGCCCGGCTGGGCGTGGCTCAGCAGTTGAGTGTCGACCTAGGATCCAGGAGATCGGGGTTCGATTCCCTGTCAGAGCACATGCCCGGGTTGCAGGCTAGGCAGCAGATTAATGACTTTCTCATCATTGATATTTCTATCTCTCTCTCTCCTCCTCTTTTCCTCTCTGAAATCAATAAAGATATGTTAAAAAAAAAATACATTTTTTAGTTATATATTTTTAAAATATATTTTTATTGATTTCAGAGAGAGGAAGGGAGAGGGAGAGAGAGAGAAACATCAATAATGAGAGTCATTGATCAGCTGCCGCCTGCACTCCCCTTGCTGGGGATCAAGCCCGTGACCCTGGCATGTGCCCTGACCGGGAATCAAACCGCGATCTTCTGGATCCTAGGTCAGTGCTCAACTGTTGAGCCATGACAGCCAGGCTGTAGTTATTTATAAAAGGGTGCCTTTCTGTCAGTTTTGTTTTTCATTTGAACACATTTTGTTGTTGTTAATCCTCATCTGAGGATATTTTTTTCCATTGATTTTTAGAAAGAGTGGAAGGAGTGGGGAGAGAGAAACATCGATGTGACACCTATCGATTGGTTGCCTCCTACACATTTCCTGATGGAGGACTGAACCCAAAACCTAGGTATATGCCCTGACTGGGAATTGAACCTGCAGCTTTTTCGTGTACGGGATGACGCTCCTGAGTTCCAGAGCCCATCTGTGAATTTCCTAGTGGACCATAGTCTCTAGGTTAAGATTTCCTTACTTTGCAAACAAATGTAATTATATTTAAATTATCCAAATGCTCTTCTTTCAAGGAAGCAAAGAAAATTATTCATTAATTGTTGATTAAACAAGTTTTTATTTTATAAATAAGAAATTTGTAAATATTGGTTTATTATATCCAGCATATTGACCTGGGGCAAGTCATTTAATCCGGAGGCCTCATTTTTCCTTATTGGTAAAATGAAAAGGTTGGACCAGATGGCCCCTTCATTTGACTCCTTAATTCTCCAAATTCTCTAAGTGTATGCTAAAGCTATGTACTAAATGTTCAGTATACACTCATGTTAAACTCTGGGAAGTCCTGGAGTAAAGAAATCTTTTTTCTTAGATTAACTGTTGAACAGATGAATACCAAACACTATTACTATCTGTAGGCCTAACAGTTTGCTTTTCCCCCGTTTTTGTTTTATGTTTTGATAGATGAATCAATTGAGAGTGAATTGACATTAGAGAATGAGAGCAAAACTTTTAGAGATAAGGTAAGTGTGATGGAACTAAGATGTGGGACCTTAAGCAAGTTCCTTCTAGGCCTTGGGTAAAGGTTTCTCCATCAGTAAAGTGAGCTGGTTGAACACAGGGGTTCCCTTGCTGCTCCCAGCTCATTCATTCTGGGGTTGTCTAGACATTTTTCTACCTGTAGAAGCCTCATCAACCTCATAGAAAGCAGTCCACCTATATGGGGCAGCTATACACAGCTCTGTGCCAATGTTTTGAACTGGTGCTCTGTACTAATAGAGGTTTAGCATGTTTTTAAGATTTAATCCAAGTTTCAGAGAATATTGGTTGTAGCCTGGAAACTTTCATATTAAAACAGTAAATTTTAGGATTTTCAATGTAGAATGTTCCCACAAAGCCCATTTCACTCCAAGATGCAAATTGATTGCATCTTCAGTGCTGCCTGGAGCACTGTATTGAGAAGGTTATCTTCCAGCTCAGAGGGAAAGAGTGAGTGCTCTATTAGCAATATCTGTTTTTGGTGTAGGATTGGAAAATGTTAAACTGCATGCCAAAGATTTATCAACCTGAATTCTAGTTAAGTCTTTACATTTTACAGATGGAGGCACTGTTGATTTGTAAGTGGCCATTACTTTTTACAAAGCAAGTTCTTCAGATCTGTTAATATCATTTGATTCTTACAGCAAGCCTATGAGGTAGATGGCTATGTTTCAGCTCAGTTTATAGGGGAGATAATGATGGCTCAGAGAGGCTAACAGTTTCCCCATAGTCACACAGCTAGGAGTAGCAGTGCCCAGCTTGACCAAATTTGTCTCTTGCACAGATGGACTCTTGCATTGAAGCCTTTGGTACCACCAAACAGAAGCGGGCTCTGAACTCCAGGAGAATGAACAGAGTTGGCAATGAATCTTTGAGTCGTGCAGTAGCTAAAGCCGCAGAGAGTATTATTGATACAAAGGGTGTGACTGGTAAGCAGCTGGTTATGATCTTGAGTGCACAGGTTGCAATGAGTGTTGGGCATCTGAAGCCAAACAAGGTGATACCCACACTGACTTTTCCTTTATTGAAAAGCTCTGGTCAATGACGCCCTCCACGATAATTTGCAAGGCGACTCCCTCTACCTTCCCCCCTGCCACGTGGACGCAGCCAAGCCCGAAGACGTGTATAAATTTGAAGACCGTATCCTTGTGGTAGAAATGTTACCTTATTTCACAAGTTGGGATATGTGCACATGATTGGCATAGCTAGGCTCTCTTGAGGGGTCAGTTGTCCCATGACATTTATAGAAGCTACATCCTGACCTTTGTCGTTGCCCAGTGCTGTTGCTGGGAAGTCAGCTAGGCTTCTTCACCCCCTGAGGGACCTGCTCTAGCACCAGCTTCTCAGCCCCTGGGATTCATATCCATTCCTCAGCCAAATGCCAAATGTCTACAGCTCAGTGCAGTGGAGGTCACTCTCAGCGAATAGTCCCAATATGACTTTAAGTCAGTCAATGCCCAAAGTGTAGGACAGACTGATTTTGTAAAAGGAAGGGTTGGAATGTAAAATTGCCCTATTTGTGGGTCTAATCAGATGAAAAATACCTGCAGGGGCTTTGTAAAGAGAAGACAGAAAAGCCCAGGCAGGGAATGAAGTCTGGGCTGGGAGTCTGGAGAACTGAGTTCCTGAGCTCTGCCCCAAAGTGCTGGGTAATCTTCCCTTCCCTGAGCCTCAGCTTTCCCATCTCTAAAACGAGGCCACTAGGAGATGATCTAGCTAGTTAGATGTTTCCATTTTGGTCAGATTGTGTTCTTGACCAGTAACTAGTTCTTTCCCCTGCGGAGTATGAAGCTCTTCAGAGTCCATCTGAAGCTTTCAGGAATGTCACATCAGAAGAAATACTGAAGATGATCGAAGATAACAGGTACCCCCACCTGGGCGGATGGAGTGTTTGAGGAAGTAGTAGTTAGACATGAAGCAGACCTTTGGGTGTCAGTCTTTGAGGATCACTGTTCAGCATTTGAACATGAACAAGCCAGTGTTTTCATAAATGTTTGGGCTTATAGACCTGTTGTCCAAAGGCTATGGGTGACCTCTGAATGCATAGCACCTGTGGCTGGGCAGAGGGTGGCAAGGCCTTATAGTTGGACTGGGAACTAGAGATGGACTATATCCCAGTGTTATGTTTGATGCTGATTGTCACTGGGGAGCCCAACTGCTGGCCTGAGAGTAGGTGCCAGCTAAATATATGATTTATCTGTGATGATGTGCGGGGCAAGCTTTTTTTTTCTTTTGAAACATTTTAAATAATGTATTTTAAATAATTCACATAGTAATCCTGGGGTGTGTTTTTTTGGCCACGAAACAGCTTTTCTTTTATGATGATGGTGGGATTATTTTGCTTTTGAGTTTCGTGGGGTTGTTAAAAATAATTTTATCTTGAAAAAGTAAAACCTGTCAACCATAGGTTGGTTCCCTGATTTTTCTTTGGAAATTTTACTGGTCAGTGAAATTAAAGGCCTTGGAAAATACCTCTTTTTCCCTCCAAAGACCCATTTCCAAAAAAAGCTCATTACTAGTTCTTAGTTGTGTTAATGTGATGGTGGCCCAGGAGCAGGTGCAGGGATCAGCTCTGGGCTGCGAGCCTGAGAAACTGAGCCCTGGAGCTCTGGAGAGTATACTGTGTGATCGTCCCCTCTCTGAGCCTCAGTTTTCCTGTGAAATAAGGCAGCTATAAGATGATCTCAAAGAACCTTTTTATCTCCTCTAGTCTAGGATCCTGATAGTGGTAGAACAGTACATTAAAAGTAATAGCTAACATTGATTGAGCTCTTACAGGTGCCAACCACTGTTCTAAGCCCTTTACTTGCATTGTTGTTTTTAATCCACAAAATCTCTAAGAGGAGGGTATTATCATTAGCCTCTGTTTATAGGTAAAGATGATGGACAGAGCTGTACAGAAAATTGCTCAAGCCACTAAATGGCAGAGAGGGAATTCAAACCCAGGCAGTCCAACTTGAGAGCCTGTGCTTCAAACCACTACATCTGGGTTTGGCAGACTGGCCTTCGTGCTCAGTCTGGCCTGATGCTTGTGGATAAAGTTTTATTGGAGCACAGCCATCGTCATTCATTTTTGTTTTATCGATGGCTGCTTTTGCACTACACTGGCAGATTTGAGTAGTTGCAACAGAGACCATGTGGCCCACAAAGCCTAAAATACGTACTATGCTAGCCCCTTACCACCCCTGCACAAAACTGCTCCTTCTGTTATAAGGAGCAGTGGCAGATGGCCCTTCCTCAGCTATCAAGTGTGTATCAGGTGTGAGGGGTGCTTGCTGTTCTAATTGTGAGGGGTTGAATGGCTCCTGACAGAGCTGGTCTTACCCGATACATTCTTTCCTTTCCCTCCCTTGTTTTAGCCACTGCTCCTTTGTCATAGAAGCATTGAAATCTTTGCCATCAAATGAGGAGAGCCGAGACCACCAGGCCCGATGCATATGGTTTCTGGACACACTCATCAAGTTTCGAGCACAGAAAGTGATTAAGAAGAAAAGTAAGTCCTCCTTGATGGACATTTGATTCCAGTTATTTCCAGTCCATTATTTTCCTGTAATTCTTAAACCAATTCTAATGAGAGAAGAAAATGGAAATGTGTATTCAGGTCTTATTTTTAACTGTGTAACAGTGAGGTTCCTATTAGTACTGCTGATAGGCTGAGAGGCCTTGCCAGGTTCTTTACTCATCTGCACATGGGGATAGGTTGGATTATGTGATTGTTCAGAGCTAACATTCACTTCTCTTCTGCATTAAGCAATGTGTAGTATCCAAATCAAATGAAAATTGTAAGGGACTTAGACATCAGTCATAGAGGGAGAAAAGTTGGCCTTGCTCATGCAGGCTTGTGACTGGTTTGTTTTGTGTCAGCTTATTTCTAATGTAGAGGAGAAAGCCAGTTTCTGCTATAGCTAGGGCTCATGGCTGCCATATCCATCCATCTAGAATTGGAAAGGAGGCAGCTAGGGTTTTAGGTACAAGGTGTGGGCAGTTATGTTACTGTGATTGGGTACCCGAGAGTGTGTGTGTTTTTTGGTACTTTTTTTTTTTATTCCTAACCCGAGGATATTTTTTCCGTTGCTTTTCAGAGAGAGTTGGGGGGGGGGCGGTGCAGAGAGAGAGAAACATCGATGTGAGAGAGACACATTGATTGGTTGCCTCCCCGACCAGGGCTGGGGATCGAGCCTGCAATCGAGTTACGTGCCCTTGGCTGGAATTGAACCTGGGACCCTCCAGTCTGCGGGCTGACGCTCTAACCACTGAGCCAAACTGGCTAGGGTGATACTTGTTTAATTCTTATTTTCAGTCTTCCCTGCTTTCCCTCTCCCTGCATTTTCTCCAGAATCTCTTTTGCTTTTCTAACATTTTATGAATTCTGTATCTTTAGGCCTCATTTTTCTTTCTTGTCACCCCATCACAAATGTCTCTCAGGCAGTTTCATTTGAAATGAGCATATTTTCATTGGAAAGTGGCATTTTGTTTCATGGGCCCTGCTTCTCTTACCGCAAGGTTTTGTTCATAACACCGGCCTAACTTTTGGCTTCTTCTCCCAACTCATGGATGACATGTGGCCTAAGGGTTTTGACAAAAAATGGTCCAACTCAACTTTGTGTTGTAGGTGCCCTGGGACCTGCAGTTCCACACATCATCAACACCAAACTGCTGAAGCACTTTACCTGCTTGACCTACAACAATGGCAGGTCAGGGGGCATGATTTCTCTGGCTTCTGCCTATAAAGAAGAAAACAGGTCAGGGAGGGTGGTGAGAGCGGGGAGTAGGAGCTTGGATTGAAGGTCATGTCCACAGAGCTACTTTGCTGAAGAGAGCACTGCCACTTGGAGTGATCTTGGGGTCGGTTAAGTTTAGGAAACACTATATAGTATGTGTTCTCTTCCCCTTGGAGAAGTTCACTTCCCTTGGGATGTCCAGCAACAAAGACTTGCTTTACTCGACACATTCCTTTCAAGAAGCCTGTGTGGTGATTTGGGGGAAGGATCCCCAAGCAGTGCACCTTCCTGCTATTTGCTGGGAATGTGTTTCCTCTTCTGAGTGTGCTTGGAAGGATCATCTGCAACTAGGTGTGGGGTGACTGCTTTCCTGGCAGCCCTGCTGAGCAGGTGGGACAGACTCGAGGGTCCTCGCCAGTGCAGGGCTCTCACTGTGCCTGGGGTAGTAAGTGCGGCCTTCTGTCTCCCTTGGAGGGAGCACTGGGATTGGCTCACTGTCCTCTATGTGATGGCTCAGGCACCTAGAAGGACAAGGAGTCTCTTGAATTCTTTTTCTTCTCTCCAAGATGGAAAGACATTGAGTACCTATAGGAACAGGTTTGGATGGTTTTATTTTGCTTTTGGAGAAATCATCTTAGTTTGTCTCCTTTATTGCCACTGATTTTGCAGTTTACGCAACTTAATTTCCGATTCTATGAAGGCGAAGATCATCGCGTATGTGATTATACTTGCCTTGCACATAAACGACTTCCAGATTGACCTGACAGTGTTACAGAGGGACCTGAAGCTCAGTGAGAAAAGGTGAGCACAAGTAGAAAGCTCCTTAGGGTGCCTTGCTGTTATCTCTAGTACTGCTGGAAAGCACGAGGCTCCATCGGGAGAACTGGGGACATTTAGCAGGGGAAAGACTTGGGACCAGCGGACAGTTGTCGAGTGATTGAATGGATGAGCAGCTGGACATTACTGACTGCCAATTATCTATGCCAGGCATAGCATTAAATCTGTCATAATATCTCAATGATTTCCCTAAAAAACAACTAAATCTGTAGTTCAGAGAAATCACTGACTTTCCCAAAGTTGCACAGACAAGAAGGGGAATAGTTGGGTTTCAGACCTGAGCCTTCCGTAGCATTCTGTCCCTATGTAACCAGGCAGCCTCCAGTCTCCAAATACCTTTCTCTGCGGAGAGATTCTGTATGGTCCTGAGGAGTGGAACCCAGGGGTGGAAGATACAAGAACCCAGTTTCAGCTTAGTAAGAAGACCTTGCTCAGGGTCAGATGGAAGGGGCTCCTGCTTGGCAGGGATGTCACATTGGGGCTTCTCTGACCAGACTGAGTGAGTTGGCAAAGATCTTCAGGCCCTTTCTAGCCTTGCTGGAAGGGATTCAGACTGAGTAGGGGGCAGAACCTCCCAGGTTCCTTAACATTGGTTCCTTTGGCCTTTGTTGGTGATTTAGGGGTATCTGACACCCAGGAACCCTGTGTTCAAAACAGCCTGTGAAACACCTTTGTTTGGACTCTAGCAGTTCACAGAGGGATTATTCCAAGGGCTCTCCACAAATGGCATTCTCACAGGCACTGATGTTGCAGATCTGGAGCCTGCTTAGCAAGTGTTCATTCCTGGCTGGTTGTAAGAAGTAAACAAAGTTTATTAATAGGATCTAGATAGATAACCTGGTTTGTAATCAACTGTAAGGATATTTCTAATGGCAACGCAGAAAATGAAATTGTCTGATGGCTCTGGCGGGGGTCTTGTCTGCCTCTCTCCTGGCGGCCACTCTGGGGATTCTGTCTTCATGGCCTGGAGCATGAGTGTGCCGCTCGATCCTGTCACCCCTCCCTGAGCAGTGACATTTGAAGAGACTCTCCATTTGTTTTGTGTGTTTGCTCCTCAGGATGATCGAGATAGCAAAAGCCATGAGGCTGAAGATCTCCAAAAGAAAAGTGTCTCTGGCAGACGGCAGGGAGGAGGAACACAAACTGGGTACTCTGTGCATCCCACTGCCTCCAGCCCAGTCCGTGGACCGCCAGTCAAAGCGGAGGAAAATCACATAGAGATGTGCTCTCCACACAGCAGTTTGGCCACATCATATAGCCACTACCTCTGTTCATTTCCATTTTCATTTTTAAAAAGAGGAAACAGCAGCCTTGCTTTGGCATGGGTATGACGCCACAAGCCAGCATCTCAGTCGTGCTTGTCTTAAGTAAAAACATAAAGCGACCACCATTTTGGACTTCGCTCCAACCTTTGGTGTGATTATAACTGGCAGGTGGTTCTCGTGTTGGTATGTGGGAGGTGGGGCCTGGGAAGCCAGAGCCAGATCTCACAGGCTGGACCCTGGGCCAAATCTAATGGATAAAGTTTAATAAAGAGCAATGTGAAGTGCCCTGCTTAGGTCTTGGAGGTTCAGTGGAGTACATGGTGGGGAGGAGCCAGCCCGGCGGGGTTGGAAGAGGCGGCTTCAGGTTAGCCAGCGTGCCGTGGTTGCCAGACAGGCTGCTGGAGTGTGAGGCTGCTGCAACAGGGTGGAAACCCTTGCCTGAACAGGGAGGAAGTGACATCCCAGCTGCTCTGTCTGGCTCAGCCCATATAGATGGTAGAGGTCAGCTCTCAAGCCACAGTTCTGAGGGGGATGAATCGGAGTTAAACACAGAAAACAAACTGTACTAGATATCTTAAGAACAAAGGAGTTTAATACATGGATAAAATGTAAAGCTGTTAAACGGGCTGCAGGAGGGGGGAATCAGGAGGTTAGTGTCAGAACTGCTCAGTTCAAGAACACACTGCGGGGGTTGCCATCCAAGCATCAAGAAGCCACTTCTGCCCCACAACTGCTTGAATTCATGAAACTGGTAACTCAACAAAGTTCAGTCACCTCTGCTTTTAATACCCACATTTCCACCCCCTTTCTTGTCAGCATAACCAAAGGATCACGAAGCTGGCTTCCATCCTACTTCCTTCTTCTGTGAGTGCACATCTAGGAACCTAGTTTGCATCTACAATCCTAGCAGCAAGGGAGTCTTGGAAAAGGTTTCAGCTCTCCGCCATCTAGTTACAGGAAGGCATACCTGAAGGCGACAGGGATGGATGCTGACCGCCAGCAGACTATGGCTAACGCTCAGGTCTTCAAGGCGCTCTGGGAGTAGCTGAGGTTTGTGGTGCTCAGTGCTGGGGAGTGAGGAGCAGTGAAGGAAGGAAGGTAGAATTCATCTCTGAAAGTGAGAGGAGGAGGAAGTTTATGCAGCAGCTGGGCCATCCGTCAGGGAGGACATGATGGAAATGAGTCTTAGATGATTTGCTCAAACAGGTGGTCCTTGTATTCCGTCCAGCTCTGGGATGCTGTTATCAGAGCCGCTTCTGGAGCAAGGCCAATGCCTAAAGTGTTTATTTTTCATGCTCTTCTCTGGTTTGTCTCATTTGTCTCTGATCCTGAGTAGTGGGCATTTGTAGTATACTTTGTCTCCAGCAGAGGTGAGCAGGAAATGTAAATGCGTCAATTTTCCTTATCTAAGCTGTCATGAAAACCAAGTATGTGTGACTGCATTCGTGATCTGTCTCTGAGAAAAGAACTAATGTGTTTATAGGGTAGAATGTGTTTTCATGAATGCTTTTTAGATTCTGATGGGTTTGACACTTGGAATTTCCAGGAATGATTGGGTCACAGCACATGACCAGGCCTCTGAACCTGTCCTAGAGGGGAAGCAGCCTGTCTTGAGTCACTCTCGCAGAGCAGTGGTATCGATAGGGAAGAGTCTGGGATGGCAAGTACTTGTCCTGCCTGGCAACAGGTGTACCTCACTACATTCCCAGAGGTTGACTGAAAAGCACATTTCTGTACATCAAGGGGCTTGTGGGTCAGAAGGCTCAAGAGGGCCTTGTTCACCTTGAACAAATCTGAAAGCAGCTAGCACAGTGCCTGACACAGGCAGTTTATGTTAAATGAGTCATAGTACGTGAACTGCACCTTCTTTCCTTGGCAGGGCTATTAGAGGGTAAACACTTGCACAATAATGGAAATGGTTTTTTATAGCTCTAAAAAACCATTTGTTTACTAATACATTCACAGTGGATACCTTGATCTCACCAAGTTTTTTTGCCATAAGATCTCCTGCTTTCCTCTGAAGAAAGGGAGGCTGTGGGCTAGAATCTGGTACCCTTAATAAGATTTGCAGTTTGTGAAATAACCTTAACTTCCAGGTGTTGGTTAACTGAAGGCCTAGAGGGAGGTTTCTGCTTGTGGTCCTGACCTGTTGTACATTGTTAACAGTGATGAGATCAAAGAAGATAGATTTAACACTTGCAGAGGACACCAACCTAGAAATTGCTAATTAGATAAAAATTTTTAGTGTCTTCTTTTAAAAACTTTCTTTTGATATGTCATACGTACTTAGAAAATAGTTGCAAGAATAATACAAAGAACTTCTGTATCTTTTACCCAGATTCTCCAGCTGTTACTGTGTTGTCCAGCTGTGTGGGAGAGCAGGCCCTGCCCAATGAACCAGTGAGGCTACTGCAGAGCATTCTCAACTTCCTGATTATTCCCCAACCACAGAAGAGCTGGGATGGGTGTTCTATCCCACTACTGCCTCCAAGCAGTGGGTGCTTTGGGAAAGTGAGCTGTGCAGGGTCTGCATCCAGTCACCCAGGAACTCCAGCACATATCCAACCAAGGAAAGTCCCCCAAAAGTGCCTCTTTTAAAATATAGAACTTTATTTTAGTTGCTGAGATTTTTATAAGCGCTTGGTTCACAGAAAAGTCATTTCTTACAAAATAAAGGCAGCATTTTGTACAGCGACTCACATTGGGGCCACTAGAGAAGTGCAAAGGACAATGTGGGGATGGGAGGGGGCAGTGCTCTTGTGCCCAAAGTCCTCAAGGAGCCAGTGCTCCTGGGTCCCTCCAGCCCCTCCCACCTGACCTGGGAGAGCAGCACCGAGGGCCTGGCAGAACCAGCCTGGGAAGCCATAAGTGAGGTGCATGACAGCGACCCCAACAGGCTGGTGAAGGCCCCGCATGAAAGGCTGAGTGGGAGGGGATTGTTCAGGTAGTGTGTCCTGCATCCAGCCCCCTTCCTCAAGCAGTCAGGGCAGGGTCTGAGCCCACCTGGAACCTTGACAGTACAGTTCAGTAAAGCCCTTTGGGACCTGGCCTTCCTCCCCCCATTCAGGCTATAGACCTTACCCCAGGCCTGGGGACAGTGAGACAGGGCCCTATGTAGGTGAGTGGGACAGGGATGGACCTGGGTAACACCAAGGCAGTAAGTGCTCAGTACCTGAGGGAGCAGAGACAGGGCAGGAGGGCTCAGCGGGGGAAGAGCATTGTCATCTGGAGGGAGGGGAGTGCTCTGTGAAGATGGCAGTGTCTGAGCTACACTTGAATGGGTGGGACCTGGACATGTGCAGAGAGAGAAGGGCAGGCCAGGAGGGGGTAGAGCATGAGCCAAGGCACAGAGTGGAAACCATAAGGGTCAGCAAAGGCAGGTGGTTATCCATGAGAAAACATGGACACACATGAGGGGCTGTAGGCACCTGCATTGCCACCAGTCTGTGCCCAGGAGGGGCAGCTGGTGTGGCTGTGCCTGTGAGATGTGAATCCTTGTGCAGCAGGCACCAAGCTAACATCCTCCTGAGTTTGGGAGCTTCTTGAGGGTAGAGGGGAGTTGTGTGTGTCCCTGCACTGCCCAGCCTGGCACCTGAGCCACTGCAAGGAAGCCTTCTCAACATGCCTCTCCTGTTTCTGGCATGCCTGTGTCATCCCTAGATCAGCCTTTCAGGAGGGGCTGCCTGTCCCAAGCCCCTTCCTCCCTCATAGGCCCATTCTAAGTCTAAGACTTCTATGCCCTTAAGGAAACCAAACTCAACTCCTCCTGCCCCTGCGGGCAGCTGGGAGGGGGTGGCGGTGTCCCTGGAGGGACAGAGAGGGAGAAGTCTAGGAAAGGGGAAAATTCTGGAGCAGCTGTCTCTTTCCACCTCACTAGAATTACTTCCCTCGCTTAGGAGTAAATCTCTTCCCTGAGAAGAGCCTGGGTTTGGTATGTAAAACACAGTTCCCTAAACAAAAACCTGACTGAAGCTTCAGTACTGATTCCCCTCAACTCTTCATAATCTCTACAGGAGCTGGAGTGACTGGAAACCCACCAATGTGTGTTCCTTTTCTCCTTGAAAAACACTTCCAAGTGCCTTTTGAAGGTGGTGGAGCTGAAGGGTTGTGGAGGTACCTTGTTCTTAGTCCCCAGGAAGCCTAGGAGCTTGTTTTTCAGGGGTGTGGTGAGAAGGACCTGGAGTCTCCTCAGACACCGCTTCCATCTCGAAGGCCTCATCTCTTAGCTGGGCACTGTCAGGGCCTGAGCCTGAGGGCAGGGTATGTGGTTGTTGGTCCCAGAGTCTTTGGCCAGCACTCCAGTTGCCCCGCCCTGTGGCTCTCCATCCTCACAGGATGGTGCAGAAGATGCTGCGGTTGCTGTGGTACCCACCTTCCACACGGGCTGTGATCCTTGTCGCCAAGGCTGTCACCTTCTGCCCACTGTGGGCTGCAGAGGGGCCTCGGAGAGAGTTTTCAAGGTGAGGGCGTGCTGGTGGGTTCACCAGCCGCCATGTATCAGACCTGGAGATGCAAATGACAATCAAGGGACTCTAAGAGTATACAGCATTCACCAAGTGTCCTGAAAATTTTATCTTTGACTCAAGCTCATTGGATGCAGGTGTTTAAATCTGGATGTAGGTTTTGTCTCCCAAGTTAGTGAAGCTAAAGGGCAACAGTCCCGCATTCTAGCTCCAGCTATGCCTTCAATTCTGCATATGATCTTGGACAAGTTCCCTCTAGGAGCCCCAATGTCCCCTCTTTATAAGGATCTGGATAAGATTAGTGCCTTTCTTTTTCTCTCTTTCATTTTCCTTTCTCCCCACCCTAGCTGCATGACCATGAAAATTTATAGAAGCTTTATTCATAATCACCCCAAACTAGAAACTACAGCTGATGAATGGATAAGCAGTGTGTGGAACACCCATACAATAAAACACCACTCAACAAAAAGGAAGGACGACAGATGCGACAGCATGGGCAAATCTCTGGGATATTCGGCTGAAAGAAGCCAGACTCAAAAGACTACATTCTGTATGACATATATTTTTAAATCTTTACCTAAGGATATGTTTTTACTGATTCTTAGAAAAGAAGGGAAAGAGAGAGAGTGAAACATCAATGTGAGAGAAACCTCCATTGGTGGCCTCCCATACGCACACCGACCAGGGATTGAACCCAAAACCTAGATATTTGCCCTGACTGGGACTCAAACCTGCAACTTTTTTTTTGGTGTATGGGATGATGCTCCAACCAACTGAGCCACCTGGTCAGAGCTAATTGGATTTTACTAGGCTCAGAGATATTGAGTAACTTGCCTGAGTCACACAGCCAATAACTGGCAGAGCTGAGATTTGAAACCACATACCCCTTGCTCTTAAAGCTTGTTTCCTCCCAGGGAGTAAAGTGTAGGTCCTCAGCCCAGGCCTGACACAAAGCACAGCAGAGGACTTTATCTGACCAGAGCCAAAAGCTGGCAGGACTATAGGGAGCAAGGGCAGCCGCAATCACTGGGCCTGGCCTCCCCAGTGGCCTCACTGTGGTTCTAGAAAACTGATGTAGTCACTTACTTTTTCTTGAAGACCAAGAACTTGTTGTTTTGCATGATGCACTCTCGATTGTTTGAGATCTGCTGAAAGATGGTCTTGTTGGTCTTGCCCTGGAAGAAGATGTTCTCCTGCACCAGAGCCTTGGTGCGACCCCGCACGGCGATGCCATAGGCCCGAAATGAATGGATGCGGTTTTTTATTACCTGGAAGAGGCAGCCAGAGTTTGTCACAGCTCAGGGACTCCCAGACTGGGGGAGCCCGGTAAGTGACTCACCAGTTATAAAACTGAGGGGTAAGAACATGATAGGAGGTGAGCAGTAAGCCATAGGAGCTCAGGGAAGGGATATCTAGACCAGTTGGGGGTAACCAGGGAAGGCTTCCTAGAAGAGGTGATGGGTAAGCTATAGGAGTTTATCAGGTGCAGAGCAAGGGAGGGATGTTCCAGGAAGAAGAAAGAATAGGCAAAGGCCTGGCAGAGAGGGGAGGTGGTGCTAGAGACCAGGGCCCACAGAAACCCAACTGAGGCAACAGTGTGCCCCTCTCTCCTTTCCTCTGCTCCCACAGTGCTCAGACTCAAAGCCAAGGACTTCTTTACTCCTTGCCTAAGTCACTAATCACGAAACCACAGAGCTGAAAAGAGGCTCTAGGATCGTAATTTCACATGGGCAGGGACTGGGTCAGTTTGGCTCAACATTGAAAGCCTAGCACCCAGCACAGTGCTTTGTATAAAAAGGGAGGTCAGAGCTCAGTGTCCCATTGGGAGACAAAAAGGCAAAGGAACATTTACAAAGCACTATGGGAAGTGTTCTGTAAGGAAGGTGGAAATAAGCACCTTAGAGTCCAGAAAAGGGTCACCTCCCTGGGGGCTCAGGGAGGGCTTCCTGAAGAAAGCAATAGCCAAGCTATAGGGCTGAGACAGAGAATGAGGGAGAAGTGTGTCCAGATACACAGGGAATAGTGTATGCAAAGGCCCTGAGGCAAGACTTCTGTCCTAATTAAGCACCTACCACATACCAGGTCCCATGTGAGATTATTCTGTTAGCAGAAATCTAAAATAGCCCTGACCTTGACCTGGAGACCATGAAGATACCCCAGGTGGCACCCCCACCCTGGTTTTTGCTGGCAACTTTTATTCATCCTTCAGGGCCCAGTTCATTTGTCCCCATCTTTGCCTTCCAGGCTGATTTTTGGCAGGAGGAATGATGTTACTTCCAGTGATGGCTGCTTCTCAGCAGAGAGGGAGCAAAAGCTCTCTAGAGTTGTGCCCTGTATTGGCACTACATGGTGCGCGTGCACACACACACATACACTCACCTTAGTGTCTGACCTGGGCAGCAGCTGCAGCCCGCTGCCCCGGTTGCCAATTATGTCGTTTTCAATGACGATAGTGCTGTCACCCTTGGTGATGATGCCATGGCCTCTGTTGTCATAGATACCATTGCCCCGGAGCTCCACCTTGCACTGGGCCTCGACCTTGACCCCACTCTGGCGGTTGCAGGAGATGCTATTGTTAGCCACACGGGTGAGCTGGCTGCTCTGGGCCACAGTGATGCCTCTGTCCCCATTAGCATGGATCACGTTGGTGATGACGTGCAGCGCCTCACTGCTCTGGACGTAGAGTCCTGAGGCTGCAGGTGGAGGGGGTGGAGAGCAGAGAAAGCACAGGGTGGTCCCAGGGTCAGCCCTGACACCACCAGTCAGGAAAAGCCTTCCTGGAACTCTGCCTCCAGGACAGAGGTGGGGAAGAGGAGGGAGCAACACTCAGATTCAGCCCTTGGTAGCTGCAGCTTCCAAGCTGGATGGCACACAGAGTCGGAGGAAACCTGGGACATCAAGAAAATTCTGTTCCTTCTGAAGTCAGTCCTCATTAAATATAGCCAGAGAAATGGGATGCAAGATTCCTCAGGCTCAGCGGATCGTCTGGCCCAGGCTCTCATCCTGCGCTGGAACACCTCCTACAAAACCATCCACTACATGCCCTTCCTGTGGTGGGGTGCTTACCACACGCTGCCCGTTCCAACTCCAGACAGACCCACCTGCTGGAAAGTTGTTTTGTTTTCCTTCCATACTGACCTGGGATCTGCCTCCCTGCTGTTTGGAGAAACTTTCTTTATAAGGAAAATTCTGTAATTTTTGAATAAAAAAATTTACTAAGCTAAGTAATATGTGTCTAAAATGTGTTGGAAATTTTATAAAGAAAATGCTGTTTGGGGTTGTGTATGCTTAGAGACACTGGGTGTTTTTGGAAAAAAGTACAAAATTGGTGGGCTCTGAGCTGCCCACTTGGTCAGGAAGAGAGAGCACGGCAGGTGGACCTGGGTGAGGAAGAGGAGTTCTCCCCAGCGGCATCCGCCGGCCGCGAGAGCAGGAGGCACGGGGCGCGCTGGGAGGGGAGTGAGGGCATGACCACGGTGGGGGTCGTGTGGGAGCAGTTTGAGCTGTGAGCGTGAGTCCAAATCTTTTGGTGGTACCCACCTGTTGCTTCTCCTGGCTTGGTAGAGAACAGCAATTATAAATTAAGTATTTGTGAATTTATGCAGCTTTTCCTCTCCTACTGGACAGATGGCCACAGATCTCTCTGACCTCTGCCACTCCCAGAGGAATGAACTTACCAGGGTCTGTGACCTCTTTGTAACAAGCCTTCCTCCATTAGCTCCTCAATAGTGATTCTGATAACCAGCCCAGTTTAGGAGTCCTGGAGTTAGATGAACTCCACAATAAGTGTATATTTTTTTTCAATTCAATAAACATCAAATACCTACTATCATTTTTTTTGGTTAAGTGTAAGATAACATAGATTTAAAACACACTCAGCTGGGCATGGCTCAGCGGTTGAGCATCGACCTAGGATCCAGGAGATCGGGGTTCAATTACCGGTCAAGGCACATGCCCAGGTTTCGGGCTCGGTCCCCAGCTGGGGGTGTGTGGGAGGCAGCCAAGCAATGACTCTCTCATCATTGATGTTTCTATCTCTCTCTCTCCCTCTCCTTTCCTCTCTCTGAAATCAATAAAGATATATTAAAAGTATTGTATGACTCTTAAAACTACACCCAAAAGAAAATACACATACACTCTAAAAAAAAAAAGCCCAGCCGGTGTTGCCCAGTGGTTGAGTGTCGACCCATGAACCAAGAGGTCACTGGTTCGATTCCTGGTCAGGGCTCGGTCCCCAGTAGGGGGCGTGCAGGAGGCAGCTGATCAATGACTCTCATCTTTGATGTTTCTATCTCTTTCTCCCTCTCCCTTCCTCTCTCTCTAAAATCAATAAAAACATTAAAAAATAAAACAAAACACACTCTTATTTTCTATACAGCTAAGAAAAATCATTGCGATTAAACCATGATATGTCATTAATTGTAAGACACATCTCATCAAAGACGTTAAAACGTGAAAAATGTGTCTCAGAATTAGTTAAATGTGCCTGCCAGGTGTGGATTTGACGCTGTAGGGGCAGGGGCACTGACATGGGTGGGATTCAATTCTTTGATTCAAGCTTATAGCCTATCAGAGTTGATGAAACAGCCACAGAAACAAATATAGTCCCAGGCCGCCTAACAAGTGCCACTGGAGGGCACGGTTCAAAGGAGGGAAGGATGCAGGGTGCATTACCAGTAGCTCTGAGTTTCAAGTGGTTTGGGCTGTGCGGATGGGAGAAAGGAAATTTCAAGCAAGAGAAATAGCATGACCAAAGTCGGGGTCGGGGAGAAGAAAGAATGGATTCAAGTTCAGGGAGCATGAAGTCCAGGGGACTGGGTATCGGGTAGGTGGCCGAAAGAAGTGGTCAATGAGGCGGGCGGGCTGGAAGGGCCATTAAGGTGGTGAAAGCACGGATAGCTCTGGAGCAGGGGCTGAGCACAAGGGGACACTCACCTCCATTGTGATTAATACTGTTAGACTCCACAAGAGCTATGGAGACGGGCTGGCGCAGCGGGTCGTCGTCCTTCTCTAGCTCTGTCTCCCAGAGGATGGCATCCCCATCCTCACTGAAGTTCTCCTGGGCCCCATGGCCCCCAGGGAAGTCCCCAGAGCCCTCCTTCTGGCTAAACACTGCCACTCCATACAGGCCATTGTAGCTGACGTGATTGCTGGTGACGTGGGGCAGGCTGGACGACATCATCCACACACCACAGCCCTTATTAGCTGGGACAGTGAAAGCAGCTGGTCACTGACACTGAGCAAGGAGTAATGCAGCCCCCAGTGTCTTCCCAACAGAGGAAGCAAAAAAGGCACTGGCCCAGGGGACAGAGTTCCTGATTTGCTAAAGGCCTGGGACAAGTCACTTTATGGCTCAGACTGCAGGCTCTTCCTTCATACAAGAGGGAAAATAACAATCAGAACAATCTTTCAACTAGGATCATTCCATCGGGTGTAAGAGTGCTCTGAGAAATGTCAAGGCCACACTTCCAGACCAGAGGCACGCAAGCCCATAGTGACAGGGCAAAGGGGCCTTGGAGTTTATCCAGCCCAACCCATCCCTGAAGAGACAGAGGAGGCCTCAGTTTGAATCCCAGCCCTACTACTTCCTAGCTGTTTGACTGAGCAAATGGAACCTCTCTGTGCCTCAGTTTTCTTACCTTTAAAATGGGGTTAATAACTACCTGAGGATTAAATGCAATAATGCATATAAAGGGCCTAGCAGAGTTGGGCCTGAATCCACGTTAGCTGCTATTATTATCATTATCACCATCATCAAATACACAGTCCAGAATGATTAAGGCTTTACCCAAAATCAGAGACTGAGTGAGAAGTTTTCTTTCTATGATCATCCTATTTCTCCCATATTATGTTCAGTTCTGTGGGTCACAAGAAAGGATAAGAGAACTTAGATGCTTGTGTGTCAGAGATTAAGTGGCCCTTTCCTTACACAATACCTGACTCCTGCCTTCTCCTGTTTTAAATGGGGCTAAAGCTCTCTGCTTTGCTGACCTCATGGGATTAATCTGATTACATAACTTATAAGAGGCTTATATGAGATGAGTGCCATTATTCAGATGAGGTCTCTGAGGCCCAGGGAAAGGCTATGACTTTCTCAGGACCCACAAAGATGGGTCCTGGGCTTTCTGCTTCCCAGGCCAGGCTGGACCCCACGCCCACCCCCCCGAATGTGCTCCTCACCATAGATGGTATTTCCTTCTATCAGTCCTTTGCCTTCATCTCCCACAACAACACCATCTGAATAGCCAAAGCAGATGAGGTTGCTCCTGAGGACAGGGACCCCTCCACGGCGGATGTCCACACCTCCCCACTGATTCTCACGGATAACATTTTCTATGGAGAGAGGCAAAAAAGAGGGTCAAGACCCAAGGGCCACCTGCAGTGCTGGCAACAAGGACTTGGGCAACTGAGAGGAAGGACAGTCTGGACCAGGAAGCCCAGGCCTTACCCTGTCTGCAGTCAGCATCCTGACCCTTGTTTGGCATTTTAGGGACTTGTTGGCTATCTGCATTCCCCATGGGCAAGGTCTGTGTCTTGAGCTCTCCTATATCCCCAGTACCCACTGTACCCAGTGGCCTTGGGAACTGATGACTAAGAATAAACGAGCATTAGAGCCCCTGGACCAGGCCAGGCAGGGGATATCTGTCCTAGAGGGCTGTTTCCAGAAGGGCTGGGACAGAATCCAGCCATTCTCCCACAAGCCTGGGGAGGCACTAGCCTGTCCTTCTCAGCCTCAGCTCTGGACCACAGCTGTTGTCTTCTCTCCCCTCTCCCTCTCCAAGAGTGGACTGAGGAGTCAGTCAGAAGGGTGGTCTGAGACCATCTGCCCCAAGCACTGTGGCAGGGCAGTCTCTCAGCCTCCTGGGACTAAAGTGCCATGGCTCATGAAACCCTGTGTGACTGGCCCCTTCCTGCCTCTGTGACCCCATCTCCAAACCTTCGCCCCTCGCTTGCCATACTCCAGTCACACAAGTGATCTCCCTGCTCCTCAGGCATGTCAGGTCTGCTCCCACAGATGGCCCTGCATGTAATTCTGGTCTCTTCCCCAGGCTCCTTCTCATCATGCAGGTTCTAGCTTACAAGCCACCTTCTCAGAAAGGCCTGCCCCGACCACCCAATCTTTAAAACAAAGGCCCTCTATCATCTTATTCTATTTCTAAGCACTTATCATCCTTAGATGTGACTTTTCTTGCTTGTATATGTATGCTTTTATTTATTTATTTGCTTCCCCCTCCTAAAATATCAGTTCCTGAAATGGGGATCTGCATTGTGCACTGCTGTATCCCTGGCTTCTTCAGGCAGCATGTACTCAAAAATGCCTGATGAATGAAGGCTGGATTCAGTCAGTGGGATTCACTGGACCAATATTTTCTGAATCCCTTTAATGTCCCAGGTATGGCTACGCTCTGTGCTGAGGTTATACCGATGTACCACACATACTTGATCCTTACCTTAAAGAATTCACTACCTTACAGCAAAGGAGACTGACATTAAACAAATCACTAAGAAATTAAGTAAAATGTCCTAGAGAGCAGGCCTCCTGGGTACAGTGAGTGTATATGTGTATAAGGGGAAGTCTGGGAAGGCTTTCCTGAGGAAGTGACATTCAGAATGAGACCTGAAGGAAGAGCAGGAGTTGGCCAGGCGGAGGGGAAATGGGGATGGGTTTCCAGAGCTGGCAAAAGCCAGTACAAAACCAAGAGGGATTCAGACATTTTGCATGGCATAAATGTTCCTGACAGTATTATGTCAGCCACCCAGTGAAATCCTGTGAGCACTGGGCCAGGACAGTGATTAGCACGGCCAGTGCGTGGGCCAGCATCCCCGAGCGCTAGCCACTAGTCAGCAGGAGGCCAATCTGTCCCGGTGAAGGACTGGGTGGGGGGAGTGAGGCGGAGCCCACTACATGACTGGCCAGACTCCAATGTCCCCACCCTACCTGTGATGAGGCCTTTGCCATTCTCATTCACAGCTATACCGGCTGCACGACCCTTGAAAATGTGGTTCCCGCTAAAATGGAAAAAGAACAAGACAGGTGAGATTAGACAATGCCACTCAAGGTGACTATCTTCTTTTGTGGGCTTCCGCAGACAGCTCAAGTCCACAGCAGCATAAAGCACTTCCTGAAGTCCTAGAAGCCAGGCATTTAGCAATCTTTGATTATCACTGATTAAAACTAACCCTACAGCTATGCCATAAAAGCGCATGATTATCCAAGGCTTTGTGGCTTCTCCTGATGGGCATCCATATACAAAGAGCATTTTAAACGGATGTCATCGTGGCACACAGCTCCCAGGAGAAATCTTGGCCATGTCAGAATTCCAAGGATGCTGTGTTAAGCTTGTCTGGGAGTGACTGTGTCCAGTCCCTGACTCAGACTCTCTGCCAGTACTAAGCCTACAACCTTCTGTTCGTGTCCAACAGCTACTCTTTATTTTCTGTTAACTTAATCACATACCCACTGGATGACAAAATAAAATAATGACATGCTTTAAAAGAAGAAAACCAGATTTTTAAAAAGGGAGTTTCAAGAACATCAGACCATGTGTATGTGAAGTCTCATGGGTTGGGTTAGCCACAAATGGCAGCTATAGAAAAACACACTCCTGCTCAGAGAAACTCACATGGCCCTTACTGCCACGTAAAGGCCTCATGAATGAGTTCCTCAGAAACAGACAATTGAGCATGTGAAGGGACATGCATTTCCCTCCAGCCTCTGCAGCTTGGTTTCCTGCCTGTAAAAACAAAGCTAGTCCCACCCAGATGATAGCAAAATCGGGTTATCCCTGGAGGACACATTTGCTATTTTTACTAACAGGAATGCTATGATCTCCTTCCCTACTGAAAAGGGCTTGCCCCCTCTCTTAAGAGGTGACTCACCAAAAAAAAGAAGAAAAAAAAGAGATGACCCACCTACTTCCCACCAGGTAGTTGAGGTAGGTCCAAATATACATCTGGCCCTTCAGAGCCTGACGCGGGGTCAGCACCCCATAGAACATCACTGAATAGGAGTTGGCTGATAGTAAGTTTTCTTGTCTCTGACTGACACAGCCAAAATTGTGGCTGGGTTCCTTTGGCACCAGCATGAAGACCTATTAAAGTTCTTGTTTTGGTGAGTCTTCCCCCATGGGCCTTTGTGTGTCTGTCCATCTGCAGCATGAGATGGTAAACCCCACAGAACAGGGACAGTTCTTATACACTTTTTATATCACTGACCCGTTACATAGAGTAAACTTCAGTATGTGTTATGTAAATAACATGCATACATACAGGGGCATATTCTTAAAGCAACAATGCAAAATATGAAAGGAGCTCTATGACCACTGTTTTTAGACAGCTGCCTATAACAGTAAAAAAATAAATGCCTCACAGGACAGGTTCAAAAATTATGGGATATTGAAACAATGGAATGTTCTGAAACTTTCCAAAGTGATTAAAGGCCATGTGACAATATGAAGTACATATAGAATAATGCAGGGGAAAACCCCTCAGAATATATTTGTTGCACATTAATGCAGATTATTTTCCTAAAGCAGACAGAACTGTGCGAGTCTTCTGCTCAAACCCTTTAGTGTTTCTCCATTATCTGAAACTCCACCTTCCTCAGCTTGTCCACATAAACAAGCCTTCTCCACCTGTCCCCTTCCTTCCATCATCCGTTTCCACCATGCTGCGTGGCAGAGATGTACAGCCCTGGGGATATAAAAGGTCAGGCTGTAGTGACCATAGCACTCAAGATTTTCTGGGACAGTCCCAATTTAAAACGTTTTATACCAATGTCGCGTCTGTACAGTTGTTTTAAGAAACAAAAAATGTTTTCAAATGGAGGGAAGACAGGGAGTAGAGAAACAGAGATGAGAGAGGAAAGAAAGAAGGGACTTGGGTGAGCAGGACGGTCTGGGCACAGCAGCGCATACCTCACGACTGGATTTCCGTGGTACAGGATGTAAATGCCAGCCTCCTTATTTGAAAAGATTTGATTGTTCCGGATGATGCCTTTCCCATTGCCAAGGACGACGATGCCAGAGCGGAGGCCATGGTGGATCTGATTACACTGTAAGTTAACATGAGACAGCACATAAGACAGACCAGACAGGCTAGCCAGAAGCAGCGTGCTGACTGCTGCCCCACGGCAGGGCCACAATGAGTACAGTGGGGAGAACAACATCACTGGAGGAGCCTGAGCACACAACAAAGTACATGGACCCTGCTGCTGCCCTGCACAGGTACACACGTGGAAGCCTAGCAGGGAGAAGCTGAAGGCAGGAGTTTTCACTGCTCCGTCTTGGGATGCAATGATGCTGGCCCCGCTGCTGGAAATTTCTGAGCCTCCACAAGTGCCCCAAACACACAATCATCTGGCCACACCACACCGCCCAGGGTTGGGGGAGCCTACCTTCACGGAACAGCAGTACCCCAGTACACGAGAATATGGGCCAAGTACAGTCCCAAGGGGGACAGAACCAGGGAGGGGTGAGAGCCATTTGGCTTCTAGTCCTCACTTCTTATTCAGGGGAGGGCTGTGGAAAGGTACAGCTCTGGGGAGCTTAGCTGTCCCATGGAGCATGAGGTGACAGGTGTGGGAGCTACAAGGAATCTTAGAGACATTCATTCTAATACCTCTGCACAAAAGGAAAACAGGCCCAAGGTCATGTTTGTGGCAGAGCCAGATTTGAAACCTAGTTTTTTCTGTTTCCCAGTTAGTTGCTTTTGCACAGTGACAAAATTTTTAGATTGTAATAAATTATAATAAAACTGTTTCAATCTAATAGTTAATTTACAGCCCCAAATGCAATCCCATACTTAAACCAGAAAGTTAGCTATTTCTCTTCCAAAACGAGTTCACAGAAAGTTCTGGTTTGCCTTAAAGTAAGTGTTCCATGCTGCAAACTCTCCTATTCTTATTCACTTTCCAGATTTTCTCCTGATGGATTTGGCCGACTCACCAGGGCAACCACGTCCTAACAGAAGTCCCCGACAGGGCTGAAAAGCTTTGAGAGAGAGGTGTGTGCAACGACATTTCCACCCACGCCCTTTCACAAAGCCAGGGCTACTATGCAACACCCCCTTCCCACCTCCACCTGCGAATTGGCCTGCCCCCTCTGTCCCTGGGAAGGCAAACTCATCTTTCTGGCAACTGCAGCAATAATTTCCGAAGCCATGGTCATGTGTCAAATATCAGCTGCATGGCAAAAACACAGTGAGAGGAAGAGGCCGAAAGAGGACATTGGCTAAGCATGTCTCTTAAATAAAGTTAGGACTTTCTTTTCTCTGCATTTCAAGGGCAGTTTAGATACAATGGGTTAAGAACATCAACTATGAGTCAGGCTCTCCGGATTCAGATCCCAGCTCTGTCACTAGTGTGATTTGGGGCAAGATCCTTAGCCTCTTTGTGTGTCGATGTCTCATCTATAAAACGGGGATAACAACTCTACCCCACAGAGTTGTGTAAGGATTAAACCATAATTAAGTACATATATAAAGTTCTTAGAATAACCTGGCATATAATAAGCACTATACATAAGGGTGGATATTATTTTTCCAGGTCCATAAAAAGTCCATCACATGTCCCAACTTCTCAGAAACCTGTCTCTGGGGGAAAGCCAGGGCGGAAAAGGGGCTAGTCTCATGTCACTGGTCTCAGTTGCTAGGATTTTAAGTGGCTTTCACATTGGTGTAAAATCAAACTTACAATACCCATGAAACAAATAATCTTCACAACTAAATATCCTTGTTATAGTAATGAGCGCACTAACTTGGTGTTTTATTTCTCATCCATGTGTCTTTTAGGGCAGACGCTGTTATCTTTAATTCTTACCAAAGTCAAAGCCACCAGAGCACATCAAGGCCCTGTGGAATTCCCTGTGACTGGTCCTCTTACTGACGGGGAGACTGCAGGAAAAAGGGCAGGAGCCCCTTGCAAACAGAAAGCACTATAAACCCAGGATGGCAACACTGATTTAAATATCCTCAGAAAAGGTTTCTGAGAAGCAAGAGCCACCCTGAAAAGAGCATGAAGACAGAGGGAAGTACCAGAATGAGCGGGTTGGACTTTTTCCGGATGTCCACGCCGGCCTCCGCGTTGTGGTAAATGTTGTTGCCGGCGATCAAGCCTCCACCCTCCAAGCGAAGAAAGATGCCTGATGCTTTGCAGCGGTGAATGTCGTTCCTGAGCATGACGATCTAAGCAGGAAAGAGAAAGCTATTTGTTTTCCTGTCACAAAGGATTTAAAAAAAAAATTACTCAGGGACACTCGAGTGTGTCCCTTAGTGTCTGGTCTGTGCTGTTCAACCCACAGGAGAGAGGAGTGTCTATAGACTTGGTAGGACAGTCTGTACGTGAGCAGGTCAGCATGGCCACCCTGTGCTCACAGGGCGGCGCCTGCGCCATGCCCTTCCTGGCATGCCCAACCTCACACCAGTTCTTTAGTAAAACCTGACCGGAGCTTAGCCCTGGGCTCCATATTCACAACTTTTGAGCAGAATAATTGGATAATGGAATGAAAAAGACCCTTAGAAAAGATGGGAATCAGTGGTCTTCAAAGTCAACATGCACTGGGGTTACATGAAAATTCCCCCAGAGGTCCAAGGGCACAGCTACTTTGAATGGAATCAAGTTCCAGATCTACCACTTCCTACCCGCCTTTGCAAAACTTCACCTGCCTGAGAAAGCTCTGAAAGTAAGGTTCTCTTCTGGATCAAGGCCTTGCTCCTAGGCACAGGGACCAGCTCAGTAAGCCCTGCACTCCTGCCCACAGCTCTCTGCTTGAATCAATGCCACTTAGCATATAATTGTACTCATGAGACATCATGGATTTTTTATTAGTCAAAAACCTTGAATATCAGTTTTTCAGGTTCCTGTCTCTAGGGACTCACTAGCTGCACAACTGATTCATTGGCTGCGCAATTCCTGCCAAAAGTCCTGAGGACCACAGTTCAAGAAGGTTACGATTAAGGCTGTATAATGGTGTAAAATGGGAAAAATAGTTTCTGCCCTCTCCAAATCAGATGACAGACGTAAGGCAAGTGTGTTATAAGCTTAAGAAAAAGATGATTTTAAAAAAGGCAAAATAGCCCCATCAAAGCCTTCCTTGCATATAGGCTCTGAGGGCCTCTCATCAATCACAAATCGTGTTCCCGGTGGCTCAGGGAGACGCATGGCTCTGGGAGTAAGCCTATGACAGCACCTTGCTATTGTGTATGCACCGCACCGCGTAAGTCAGGTTCCGGAAGATGTTTCCTTCCATCTTGGCTCGGCCGTAGGAGCAAACGAAGACGCCGCCCTTCCCGTCCCTGAAGAGGCACCTGCGGATGAGGCAGCCCTGCACCGAGCTGGCCAGCGCCAGGGCCTCCCTGTCCTTCTGCAGCTCCTGCTGCAGCGAATTCAGGACAAGGCAGCTGGGCAGCTGAATGGATGCTCCCGGCAGGGGGGGGCCCAGGAAGGAGCCCCCCAGGACCGGGCGCGGGCCCTGCACTTGGTAGGACAGCCTGTACGTGAGCTGGTCCTCGTCCTCGTCGTCGCCGCTGGGACTCAGGCCTCCATCGCTGCTGTCCGGGGTCTGCGCCAGTCTTTCCCCATCGCTGCCCGCCTCTGCCTCCTGCGAGCCAGCCTTGGAGCCTGGCTTTGGGGAGCTGGACACTGGGCTGGTAGGGCTCTGGCTGCCTTCAATGACAATGTCACAGGTCCTTGGGCTCCAGGCCTGGTCCCTGCTCTCCAGGTCCAGGGACATTAAAGAGTCGGAGTCCTCTGTGGGGAGCACGCTGGGAGAGGACTTAATGAGCCCTAGGAGATATTTGTAGGCCCAGTTTTTGTCTGCAGATGGGTGGCCCTCAACTGTCACAGAGTTGTTTTCGCTGCCCACAAATTCACAGTTTTCCAGAACGCACAGGGGCACATTGTGCAGGAAGACATGGGTGTTTTTGAAGGTGCAAAACTTCACTTGGCAGGTGCCTGGGCCATGGACCTGGATGTGCCCATTTTCAAAGTTGCAGTTGTCAAACTGGACATGACCTGATGATGTCTGGGGAATGAAAAGAGAAAGTGAAGATGGCAGGGATAAGACCTGTTTAGCTAGTTAGTAAAACATATGCCCAGCACACAGTAAGTGCATCATAAATGATTGCTGGTATTATGATCGTTACAAACCTGAGAGACAATTTAGTTGTTATTGGTAGTAAAGTAGCAATATAATTTTTGTTGACTAGGTACATAATTCAGGTATCGCAATTAGTATTGGCAATGTAAAAGCTGCAGATGCTCTGCCAGGAGCTACCAACACCTCAGTCCATGCTTTGCTGTGAACACAACTTCTGCTCTGTGTTCCTGGAAGGAATGTGTTGGGACTGATATTTCCTGACCCTCTTTCCAGTCACCCTTGGTAAAACCTGGTCTTCCTGGGCCGTCCACAGGGTGGGGCTGATGCACGGGGGTCATTGGCCTCCCCTCTCTGGGCATGCTGCCATAAAGTGTTCTCTGCTTTCTGTCACCATGTGGCATGCTCTAGGAACCTGGATTTCCTACCTAGTTGCTCCACCTGTGGCTCCGGTTGATCCAGTTTGGAAGGGAAGAACTACAAAGTAATTTTGGCCTCAAGTCCAAGGCTCATTTTTTAATACAGCTTTGGCAGGAATAAAGCAGAATGTTAATCTCTACTGATCCTGTGCCTATTTCTCAACTGGTGCAGAACTCAGAGAAGTGTGTTGGAGCAATAATAATTAAACTCTCAATTCCAACAAAAAAAGGGTCTACAAATCGACTAAGAAGAGGTCAAGGTCCGGGGTCAGGGCTGGAGAGGCCATCATCTGATATGGGTACCCACCTTGAACATGAAGGGCGAGAACCAGGCTGGCATGAAGACAAGGTTGCACAGGCGTGTGGTTGAGCAGTGCTGATCAATGCTGGCTAGCAGGGCCACTTCGCCCAACTTCCCGTGGCCTACAATCTCCACAGGCACCTTCAGGATGATTTCACCTTGCTCTTCGTACACACCTGGGAACAGCACAATGCGGTCATATAGGCTGGCCATGGCCAAGGCACTGCCCAGGCTGTCGAACTCATGGCCTGGCCCGACGCTCAGGGTACGGCGTTCCCTCCTCCGGCGAAAAAGAGAAAAGCAAACAGAGGACTCTAAGTCCAGGGCATTCTTGGCCCATGTCTTGGAGGCAAGGTAATGCTGTTTGAAGGCCTCCCTCCAAGACTCAGGCTCCACATCAGGTTGGTTGGGCCAGTTGGGGTGGCGGCACTCGGTGCAGCCCAGACACAGCTGGCGCCAGCGGGTGCTGTCGAGACTGAGGATCAGTTCATACCAGGCCTTGCACACCAGGCTGCAGCGGCCCAGGTCAGGAAGGTGCAGGTAGGCTAGGATCATGCGCCACAGCTCCAGGGGGAGCCCACCAGCCTCCATGGTCACCTGGGAGACAAACACAGAACAAAAGAGGCTTTTGTTGATCCTGCTTACGGTCCCTCTTCTTAAATACCCCTGCCTTCTTCTGACTCTAGGGGTGAGCAAGGGAACAAGGCCCGGCCAACCACAGGACTCCATCCCCTCAATCAGAATACTTCTCTGGGATTTTTCTACCAAGAATCAGCAGCAAAGACTCTCTTTTCTCTTTGGTCAGACATTGTATGGGTATGACTCCAGAACTGTTGGAAGCCACATTCCCTACCTTGCAGAGAAAAGTTGTGGTACCAAAGCCAAGCAAAAATGAGAGATGAAAGATATAAACAGAAAAAGGGAAAGAGCTCAGAATGGCATGGCTCAGCAGTTGAGCACTGACCTAGGACCCAGGAGATCGTGGCTTGATTCCTGGTCAGGGCACATGCCCGGGTTGCAGGCTCGTTCCCCAGTCAGGGGCATGCAGGAGGCAGCCGATCAATGACTCTCTCTCATCATTGATGTTTCTATCTCTCTTTCTCCCTCTCTCAAATCAATAAAGATATATTTAAAATTAAAAAAAAAAAAAAAAAGAAAGAAAAACGGAAAGAAAAAAGTGAGCACACTTGTATGTTCTGGTGGTACAGATTCCAGACTCCTGCAGGTACCCTGGAATCTTCATTCTTCTTTCAATTCTGTGAGGAACCACGATGGCCTTCTAATAAATGCTCTTTGTGCTTAAGCTGGTTTGATCTGGGTTTCTGTGACTGGTAACTAAGAATCTGGACTAATTATCCTGAGGGAACTTAATTGGCTGTTATGGCTCCAGAGCTCTGGATCCCCAGACTCTCAGGGAAAGGACCTCTATTTCTTCACACCAATAGGAATGAAAACTGAGACAGTGAATATCTATTTGTCTGTCTCTCCTCATAACCAGGTCAAATAATTACCACTGTTTCCCATCTTAGGCAGTCTCAGGAAAGGTTATCACAGGATCAGAGGTTGAGGGTCTTGGTCCTGGCTCTGCCACTGGTAATATATGGATAGAACTCTAGTGTTCTAAACATCTACTAGTCTGGCTGCCCAGTCACCTGCCCCCTTGCCCGCTTGCTTTTTTCTGGAAAATATTCTTCCTTCCTCCAGCAATTTATACCCCATGGATACAGAGGTAGGGCTCCCACAGCCACATGTGTGTGTACAACACTCCCCCAGCTCCTTGGCTGCAACTGATTGGATTCTGTATGGCTCTAATTGGGCCACTGAGACCTCCAGGGGAATATGAGTTGTGATTCTACAACCAGGTTGACTTCCTTCCTGAATGGAGGGGAATGAATTGCTTCTTTCCTAAGCTATAAACTCAGGAATAGTTGCTGGCGAACATTTTCCCAATTGGGGGGGGGGAAGGTGCACAAGAAGTTAGTCTAAAATGAGAGAAGAGCCTGGCCAGCATGGCTTAGTGGTTGAGCATCTACCTAAGAACCAGGAGGTCACAGTTCGATTCCTGGTCAGGGCACATGCCAGGGTTGTGGGCTCGATCCCCAGTAGGGGGCGTGCAAGAGGCTGCCAATCAATGACTCTCATTATTGATGTTTCTATTTCTCTCTCCCTCTCCCTTCCTCTCTCTGAAATCAATAAAAACATACTTTAAAAAAATAAAATGAGAGAAGAATGAATCAGAAACACAGAAAAAAAGCAGAGAAAAGCAGAAACAAGGGGTTACCACAGTTTCTCTGCGGCGCTCCAGGTGATGCTCCAGGCTATTCAAAAAGCTCAGCTTTATCCTTGCCTTTTGAATTCCATCAAATATCTCTGTACTCATAATAAATTCTCCTCTTTGCTTAAGCTGGCTTCATTGAATTTCTGTTGTTTATGATCATACTTGTCAGCTATGTAAGCTCCAAGGCGGCTACAAGCACAAATATATGATTATATCTGGAAGAAATTCTGAGCTTCCTCAAGACAGGTGTGGCTTTACTACTACAGATTAGTACTGGAGCCTGCGTATGTGGGTTTTTCTCTAATTATCACCCAGTGGAACTTTACAGTCCTTGGGGGCACTGGAGAAAAGCTGGTCTCTGGATCGGTAAGCATTACAAATAGAGAAAATAGGCTCCTGACAGCTGTCACTCCCCCCGGTGAATGCCATTCATTTATTCAAGGTGGTTTCTGTGACAGTGATGTCTCCTATTCCTCACCTACTTCTTTAGCTTTGTCTGCTCAGGCTTTTTAAAAGAAAAATGTTCTTCTAGTCCTTCCCTAACCATTCTGTAGCTAAGTGGTCACACTGATTCCCTTGACTTCAACTATAACTAAATTCGTGACTACAAAAATCTGAATCTCTAGTCCTGATCATCTCTTTCAGGCTCCACATATGAACACTCAGCACCTCTTGGGCAAGTCTACTCAGATGTCCCTGACACAGACACTAAAAACTCAGCAGTGTATTCAAAACTGAACTTCCACTTCCACTTCAGGTCTTGACTGAACAGCTGGAACTAGATTCATCCTTCTGTCATAAACAACTATAAAGCTGAACAAAATATGCTTTAGGGCACTGAACAGCCAGCCACACACAGGACTGTGATCTTTGAGAGAAGGGAAGCACAGGGGGTGAGCGCATGGCTGCCCAGCTTGCATCCTGAGGCACCTCCTTACTGTGGTGAGGGAGATGGAGCCCAGGCAGAGTGGTTAGTCTCACCGAGCAGGCAGATCTGAGTTCTCTGCTGCTGAAGCGGCTGGAATCTCTGAGGCAGGGTGCCAGAACAGAGAGAACAGCACAGAGTGGGTGGGCAGTTTCTGGGCTGAAAGCTGGACTGCACTTGCACAGCGCAAGACTTCATCAGGCCTAGTAGAGATCGCCTGCTATGGGGTAAACAATGATACCAGAGATCACACAGAGCTGGGAGACAATGGAATTCCAGCCCAGAATATGGACTGTTCATGCTGGGACTCAGAACGGATATGCCATAGGAATAAATTCAAATTGGAAGAACAAAAGCAAGCCTGATGGGATCAAAGCGTTCCATCAGTATCTTAACTGCCTGCTAGAATATAATTTGATATTCTTAAAAAAAAAAAAAAAGACAACATAATCTAAACTCCCTCAACATGTCAGCCACAACAGTGTAGTATTAGCATAAGAAGTCCAGGCCCCTCTGAGCTCAGATGAGGATTTCCTTTTGTTCAAATGCCGCATTCCCTGTTGTTCCATTTGGCTTTATTTACTGTATCTTTACACTAATCCATGGGGATCCATGCGTCTACAGGGATTTCTATAACCAAGTAACACTTGAAAAAAAAAGTACTCGAGTTTTGTCCCTCCTTTTTGCCATTGGGGCCTCTGAGCTATGGAATTAAAAGTAACGAATGCCCCCCAGGGCTTGTGCACTTGCAAAGGACTAGAGAAACAACAATGGGAAGTTGTTTGGGATGGGAGAAAGCATGTCCTAAGGTAGGCCTTAAGCTGTTCCTTTATTTACATGTTCCCAAGAGTGAGAACTCAAGAGCTTTTCGTGGCACCTCCTAACAGCCCATTGGCAGTATCCACATGCCTGCAGGCCACCTGGTATCCCCCACCTCTGTGGGCGAGGCAGAGTCCATCCTCTTGGGAGGTGAGTCCCACAAGACTTGGCTCTCAACAAGCAGGCTCTACTGTGTCCCAGCCCTATAACGTCAGGCAAACCCTTTAACCTCTCTGAGCCGATTTCCTCATCTGTAAACAGGCTAATGACAGCTGTCCTGCTACACCTCATGAGGATTTTGAAAATTTCCGAAGAAAAAAATCATTTATTCAACAAATATTTGTTGACTGTCAACTATTATGCTAGGCACTGTTCCAAATACTGACAAGCAGTAAACAAGACAGAGTCCCTACCTTCAGAGACAGACAATGAATTTTGAAAATAACATAAATGCTATGAAGAGAAATAAAGCAGGCTAAAGGGAGTGCGTCTATGTGCCTGTGTGCATGCACACGTGTGCTATTTTAGATAGGGTTGGTAAGGAAGGTCTCTAAGGAAGTGACATTTAAACAGAGGCCTGAATGACATTTAAAGCCATGGGATGGGATGAGATCACTAGAGAGAGTGGAGAGAGTGAAGAGAGAGAAGTCTGCTGACCAAGTCCTCTCCAGCCTACCATTTAAAGTGCCTGAACTGAAAGGCTGTGCTAAGGAGAAACTGGGAGTAAATACCCTTTGAACGCTGTACAGAAGTCTAGTCAACGCAAGGCACTGGCAGGAAAGCTTTGCTTTGGTTTGCTCTCTAGACCCCCACTGCTTCTGCAAAGGTGGGTTCTATGGGCCACTGAGTTAGCTGAGCATCATGATGGGTGGGCAAGTCAGGAATAAAATCTAGTGACACCTATCGAGCTCACTAATGTTTTGTTTGAGTGGATTTGTGGAGTAAGTGAAGGAGACACGAGGAAGTACCATGTTACACCATCAGGCCTGCCCACGTGAAAAGTGAGACAGCATACACAGATGCAGAGTGGCCAGGTGACACTGTGTCTGGACACCTACTAGAGGAAACTCACTACGACGAAGCAGACGCATCCTCTGCCCTCAAGGAGCTTATCATCTTATATATAATGTTTCCTTCATTATCTGTCTCCCCTGAGTATAATGTAAGCTCCTTAATGGCAGAAACTTTGTGTCATGCTTTGTATTATGCCTAGAACTATGCCTGGCCCATAGTAGGTGCTCGATAAACATTTACTGAATGAATAATCACCATCATCATTACCTGGGGTATTAGTAGAGCTCAGGCTATTCAAACCATTAGCCGTAGGAATCCCTACTGTCACACAGGTCCCCATGGAATAAAAAAAGAAGTAAATAAAACTCAAGTCTGTAGTCAACACTTGTGATGTATAAGACAGAGGTAAGCACTGTTAGGGAGTCAGGAGTCAGATAAAGACTCCACCCTTGAGTCTCAGCTGGGCTTTTCATTATTTCTTCAAATCTTAGCTCTCTTCAGCCTAAGAAATCACCAGCTGTTTCTTATTTGCAGCTTTGAAACTTGATGACAAAGACCAGAATGCGGTGTTTTTATGCACATATGGTGCTTTCTTAGTGTGGCTGGGAGCCATAAGGGCCCCTCTCCCTCCCTTCTTTAGTGCACTGCCCGTTCACTGTTTCACTGTGCACTGGGTTGGGAATTCCCAGACCTGGGATTTAGTACTGACTTCACACCAATTAGCTGGGTGGCCTTGAGGGGGCAGGGAAAAGTGTGATGCGGACGTACTAAATACCAGGTACTTTTTATATGTCATCTCAATGAGCACTTACAACAAACCAAGAGGTCGTAGTCTTATCCCCAATTCGAGGAAAAAACAGTCACTCCCGTTTTAGTTAGTAAGCAGCACAGCTGAGGTTCCTAACCTGGACTGAGACCACAGCCCCTGCAGGGGTCCCTGGTGAGGCCAGGAATTGGCTGTTCTTGGGTCTGATGTTCATCTCTGGTTCAGTAAATTCTGACTACTAGCGGGTAGGGAAAGAGCAAGATTTCATGGTAGAAAACATGACTGTCTGGGGCTTTCCCTGCATGAACAGTTGTGAACGTAGAAGTTTTCTTAAAAAGCACTATGGGACTAGCAAGCACCATGGCTGATACACTGAATACACGTCCACATGGTAGAGAGCCCTTGCACTAGCTCTCTCACCTCTGCTGCCCTGAACCAACACCATGTCCTCAGCCAACAAAACCAAAGTGCCCAGTGGTTGGTGGGCAAAGGAACTATTTGACCAGACTCTTCTTTCCCTTTCAGTGGGCTCATGAACATGTGATGTCCTTTTTTTTTCTTGTACAGATCAACTGAGTTAGTTCCAACTGCAAACTCTCTAGCTCTCCTTTCTTTGCATCACTCTTCCTTCCAGTCATTACACGGTGTAGTGGACTATGGTAGCTATAGCTTCTATCTGCCCAGCAAATCTTTCCTCTTCTAGTGCCTTAGAGGAACTCTGCTCCCATTCCATTTAGTCCTGGTGGAACTATCATTCATAGGGTCTCAGGCCTCCAGCACACAGGATGGATACTTGATCTAAAATAGACAATCAGAACATTGCAACCCCTAGAACAACTCAGAAGAGTTCATGTGAGGAATGAAGCCAAATTAAGACAAGGTTGAGCAACTGTGAGAGATGGAGACACACACACACACACACACACACACACACACACACACACACACAGCCCTAAAAGTATATTTTGAGCCCCTGGATCCAGCTATGCAGTTTATAAGCCAACAGATTTTCTTTTTAAAGTTAAGAGAGTCTAAGCTCATAACCTGCAACCAAAGAGTTCTGACAAATGTATAGTTTTCTCAAGCAAATTCTTTGCTCTCTGACTTTTCCTCCCTCATCACATTTGTTCCATCTGTGGGTCCTTAAGTGACTCTAATCAAAGCTGACACAGTGCATTACAACTAACCTACCACTAAGAGGGAAGGGGGTAAATGGAGTTCAAGCGGTCTAAGGTCCCTGTACTGTCTAAAAGAAGAGTAGGGATATTTATCAGCTCTAACTTTATCAACTTTGGTTAAATTAAAATTTCCAGGGTAACCACTGAAGTCAGAGTGAAATGGGGGATATCTTTACAGATGTTGCAGACATTAAATGAGTAATAAGGAAATATTATAAACATATATATGTGTGTGTGTTTGTAAATTTGAAACCTTAGAAGGAGCAAATTCCTAGAAAAATATTACTTATTAAAACTAACTTAAGAAGAAAAAGTTTTAACTGCCCTAGAACCATTAAGAACATTGAATCTGTGGTTAAAAATAACATAAAAGAAAACAAACTTCCAGACCCAGGTGGCTCACTGAGTTCTCTCAAATATTCAAGGGACAAAGGAGAGGAACTAAAACGGGTGGCGGGGCAGGAAGCCAGCACGTATCAGATCTGTGGGCTAAAGAAACGCAGCAGCCAGGAATGTAGTTGTCCCACTAACCTTCCTCTTGTAAGTTTTTCCAGGAATTGTGACCAACCAGAAACCTAGAGAAATTGTATCTGGAAGGAGTAAACTTGACGTAAAAAGGGAATGGATCCAAATGGACAACAGGGAATACTATCGGCGCCTCACCCAGACCCTCTTTCCTGGCGAGCTCATCCACCCCGCAGACAGAAGTTTCAGCTGAAAACACCTAATCTGGTTGTACTCCTCTTTCCCTTCTCCCCCCATCCTGCTTCCCACATTCTCCTTTTCCTGAGCACTTCCAGTAAATCACTTAAAACAAGAATCCCCATTTGGGGTCCTGCTTCTAGGGAATCTAAGCTATCACCATTTAAGAGGGTGAGAAGACAGTCACAGAGTAGGAGAGGATACTTCTAAAACATGGAACTGACAAAGGATTACTAACCAAAATATATCAAGAACTCTGACAAATCAATAAGAAAAATTGAAAAACAGGTAAAAGACCTGGAGTTCGCAAAAGAGACCATCTAATTAACCAATAAAAAAGTGCTCAACATCAGTAGTAACCAAGGAAAGAAAATTAAAACCACAAGAGATATCATTATACACTGAGAACAGTTTAAAAATTTAAAACTGATAATACCAACTATTTGTAAGGATGTAAAGCAACTGGAACTCTCATATTCTGCTGGCCAGAAAGTACACTGGTGCAATCACTTAGAAAACTGGTTATGTGGCAAAGCAATTCCACTTTCACATAATAACCTAAAGAAACTTGTTCACATACATAATAGAAAATGTCTTAGGATGCTATTGGCTGCGCTGTTCTTGGTAGTCAGAAACTATAAGCAACACAGGTGTCCATCAACTACAGGATGCATAAATATATTGTGACATATTCATATCATGAAACATTGTTGGCAATAAAAATAAATGTGATCATTACATGGATGCAACTCACAAACAAGTTGAGCAAAAGAAGCAAACACAAAATGCACACAATATGATTCTATATGTATAAAGTTTAAAAACTAGTGAAAATAAACTATATTGTTTAGGGATGTAAATATAGGTGACAAAATTACAAAGAAAAGCAAATAAATAATTATCATAAAAGTCAAGATAGTTGTTTTGCTTGGAAAGGAGGTTATGATTTGGAAGAGGGTACTACTGAGTACTGGCAACATTCCATATCTTTTTTAAAATTTTTTAAAATAAATATTCCATTTCTTTTCTTTTTTTTTAAAATATATCTTTATTGATTTCAGAGAGAGGAAAGGAGAGGGAGAGAGAGATAGAAACATCAATGATGAGAGAGTCATTGATCGGCTGCAGCCCGCAACCCGGGCATGTGCCCTGGCCGGAATCGAACCCTGATCTCCTGGATCCTAGGTCGACGCTCAACCGCTGAGCCACGCCCGGCCGGGCAAATATTCCATTTCTTGACATGGGCTGTGGTTACATGTATATTTCCCTTAGGATTGTTAAACTATAAATCTGTGGGAGGTTTTTCCTGCCGGCATTCTCGTTATACATCGTATTTTTAAAAGTTTAAAATAAAGACAATGAGCCCAGCCAGCGTGGCTCAGCGGTTGAGCATTGACCTATTATCCAGGAGATTACAGTTCCATTCTCCATTAGGGCACATGCCCAGGTTGTGGGCTTGATCTCCAGTGTGGGACGTGTAGGAGGCAACAGATGATTCTCTCATCATTGATGTTTCTCTCTCTCTCTCTCTCTGAAATCAATAAAGATATATTTAAAAAAATAAAATAGACAATGGAATAAACATACTGATTATTGTCTGATTCTTAGAAAAGTTGAGGGAACTGAAAATCCTTCATTTTTAAGTTAAAACCTTGCCCCCAAATATCTAACAGGGCACATGCCAAGTAAACTTTCATTAATGCCAACTTCTCTTAGGACTATAGGTGGAGACACAGTCTCCTGGGAACAGATCTATGCTTTGCCAGGAGTCATCAGAGGACCCTTCTTACATATGAAAAGTACAGTGAGTAGGCACCTAGGGGAGTTACCTTGTTGAAGGCTGCCTGCCATTCCTGAGAATCCTTTGTAGGCAGAATTCAGGAGAGGAAACAGAACTTGCCGAAAAATGTCTCAGATTAGGGTTAGAAAGAAGAGGGACTGAGCCTCCAAACCCTGATAAAAGGTTTGAAAATGGGGTGACCATGATCAAGGCTGCTAGCAGGAAAGGGATATATGCCTTCAAAGGCTACATGCCTTCAAAGAAATCTCAACAGGAGACTGGGAGAGCCCAGCCTGGTGACAGGCTCAACACACAGCGCAGAGTGCAGTGCTTTGGGGAGAATAGCTAAGCACATGAGCAGAAGCTAGAAAAGCTCTAACCTTGGAATCCAAGCCTGGGATCAGGCTGCTGGAACCTGGTTCAACAAGGGCGTTGAGCAGTAGTAACCACACATCCTTGGACCACACGGGGCAGCTCTTCAAGAGTAATACCATATAGCCTGGCTGGCATGGCTCAGTGGTTGGTTCAATTCCAGTCAGGGCACATGCCCAGGTTGCAGGCTTGATCCCTAGTAGGGAACATGCAGGAGGCAGCCGATGAATGACTCGCTCTCATCAATGATGTTCTATCTCTCTCTCCCTTCTTCTTTCTGAAATCAATAAAAACATATTAAAAAAAAAAAAAAAAAAAGGGAAAAAAAAAAAAAAAAAAAAAAAAAGTGAANGGTGTTTCTCTCTCTTTCTCTCCCTCTCCCTTCTTCTCTCTGAAATCAAAAAAAACATATTAAAAAAAAAAAAAAAAAAGAGTGAGACCATATAGCTGTTTCAGAAATAACAACGTGGATGTACTGCTCAGACTCTGCAATTCTTGTTCCTTTGGAGAACAGAAGACTGACTGAATTCTTTGGACTGTTTAAGCCCCCAGGGGGCCTGGAAATGAGAGATATTTGAATTACTAATAAGGGCATTAAAAGACTTGGGAGATTACTTGAAAAAATAAAGAAGCACATGACTGCATTAGAACACAATTGGTGAGACACACAAGTTAAGCACCTAAAATGAAACACAAAATTTTAATGTCTATCTACTTTTATGTACACAATATCACCTGTATGAGTAGAAAACTAATACATCACTAAAATAACAGAAAGAGGGTAATGAGAGAAACTAGCAGTCATTTCAAACAATGCCTGTGATAGATGACTTAAGAGAAGGTTCATTCATTAAGACAAAGCGAAGGAACAAAACACTTCTTGTAGTATCATCTATTATTACGTGACTGAGACAAGTAAAAGAAACTTGTTTCTTTCATATCTTCCTTGAAAAGCATCTCAGTGTGTGATGTCTTCTTCGTTGCCCAGGACACTATCCCTCCCACCTCTGAGAGCTCTGGCTGGCTCCCAATCAGAGGTCTACTGATTTGCTCCTTGCATTTCTCCCAGACTCTGAGGTCCCTAAGCCAGGAGATTTATATATATATATCTCCTTACCCGAGGACATGTTCACTAGTTTTTAGAGAGAGGGGAAGGAGCGGGGGGAGAGAGAGATCAATTGGTTGCTTCCCAAATGCATCCCCTTGGTCCTGCTACCCATGCAGGTTTGTTAAAGACGGAAGGAGGGAGGGAGGCAGGCAGGGATAGTTTGTTCTGTAGCTGAAAAAAAACCAGAGGTCCACCACCAGAAAACAGAAACTCACAGTAAACGGGATTGCTTGACCACGTTATTAGTTAACAGCTACTTGTGCTATCATAAAAATACAATTAATCTGATAACCATGGGAACCAAAATGAAAGCACTATGGTGAGGGTGGCTCTCTTCAGAAATCTGAAAATAATTAGAGGCCTGAAACCAGAAAGACAAGGAAATCCTTTCCTAAAAGCCCTAAAAAAGCAGTATTTTCTCCAGTGTCTAAAATCTCACCAGGCTTCAACAAGGGTTCTGGGACTGCTGGGGCTGATCATGAAGTAATTTAGACCTCTCTGTGTGTTTCTGTCCCTTGGGGCCAGCTGCTATGAGGCAAGCTCACTGGGAGCTGAAACTTATTGTTATTATAAAATATACCGAGAACCAGCAGAAGAATGGATATATATGTGTATATATATAACATATATGTACAAAACACATATATTTCTTCTCTAGTTCCTAGGTGTACAAGCCACACAGTAGGTGCTCCAAAAATACTTGTTGAATAAATGAAAAATTAGGTTAGAACTTAGGGAAAGCACAGTGTCTGGTACACAGTGTATGTTCTTTCCACCACACAGTGCCAACATTCTGTCCCTTCCTGAGAAAATCAAAGTCCCATTCTCTTTCTGGGTCCAGCCTCTCCATTTGCAAAAGGAGACAGTTGGATGAGATGGTTTCCCAGGCATCTTCCAGCTCAGACAGTCAATCACTGTACTGTGCTTTTTTTGGTGGTAGCGCAGGCATGGTGCTTTTTTTCTCAGAGGGAATCTGATACCCATCTGCTCCAGTACATTAATGTTCCCATCCCGCCTGACTCATCTGATAGGAACAACAGGTTCACATGCCAACTGTAAATGAGAACCAAAGGGGCCCAGAAAGAGAAAGGGGGAAAGGGTCCCACTTGGATCCTTTCTTAGGAAACCAAAACAGTACTCTTAAGGACTAAACACAGAAACTGACCTGCGGCTATTCTCAACACCCCTCACGTGAAGCTTACTAATTTAATAAACTTATATTAATAGCACTATCTTTGAGCGCTCTGGTGCCTGACACTGTGTTAAGCCCTTTAAAACTTAATCCTCACAGCAGCCTCATGAGCTAAGTATTATCATCTGCTTTTAACAAATGAGGGTTCTGGCCCGGCCGGCGTGGCTCAGAGGTTGAGCATCGACCAAGGATCCAGGCGATCAGGGTTCGATTCCCAGTTGGGGCACATGCCCAGGCAGCGGGCTCAATCAATGACTCTCATCATTGATGTTTCTATCTCTCTCTCTCTCCCTCTCCTTTCCTCTCTCTGAAATCAATAAAGATATATTTAAAAAAAACAAATGAGGGTTCTGTGTGGCTCGAGGTCACACAGCTAGTAAGTGGCAACTAGAACTTGAACCCGAGTCTGGCTGCCTCCAGAGCTCTGGCTCTTTAAATGGCTTTCCGTTCTTCGCCGTAATCCCAGGAGGGAGGCGGAGCAGGGATCATCACCTTTACTTTAAAGATGGAGAAACGGAATCTCAAAGAGGCTTGTGATTTGCATAAAATACAGAAGGCACTGAGTGAGGTGCCCGGCGCGGACGCTCGCTCCCGCGTTCCGAGGTGAGGGCTCTTCCCATCCCGAGCCTGCTTCTTCCTCTGCCCCTTCACTTACACACTCGCAAAATCCCAGACCCACCTTCCCGGCGCGGTCATTCTGCAGGAGGGGAAACCGAGGCACGGCTCCTCCGCGCGGCCGAGCGCGCAGCTGCCCGCAGAGCGCAGGAGGAGGGGCTGCGAGC